ATTATTATTTGAATAAAATTAGCAATTGGTAAGTTGCTCTTATTTGTAACTTACAGCATCGATAAAATGTATGTCAATATACCCTAAAATATATAATCACGTTTTTCTTTGGACGAATGAATACATATTATTTACAATTGTAAATCTTAAATTAAAAGGAAAAATAGCCAGTATTGCACATATTGTAAAAGCATATAAATTTACAGGTGTTCATAAAAATGTTTTAATTTGACGTACTTAGAAATGAATGAAATTCATTATATATAATTAGTATATACATATTTTATTCTATAATAATATTTTCCATTATATAAAACATTTTATAAAATGAATTCACAATTTTACCAAGATTTTCTAAAAATAACTTTATTTTACACAATGATATTTATTTAATTTTAATAAAAATTGTTTTAATAATTAAAAACAAAATTGTAGTATTAGAGTATGAATTTATTAATTACTTAAAGTTATTAATTTATGTTCACTCTTGGTTATACAAATTATTAATAAAAATATTAATACGAATACTTATTAATAAAAATATTGTCATTTTAACTATTATATATAGTCATGATTAATAAAAATGTAATTGATAATCTGTTGGAGTTTTAAAAACTTTTCAGATATGTTTTTAAATTATGCCTTTATATTTCTAATGATTAGTAACAGAAAACAAAAATTGAATTTAAATTGACGTTCAATTTTTACGATCCTTCCAAAGATTATAATATTAAAAAATAATATAATTGTATAAATTTTATAATTATAATACAAAATACATATATAGATAATTTGTATTTATTTCAGAAATTATGTATTCAACTTTTGGATGATTTGCTGAACTAAAGAAGAAATAATGATGCCATAACTAAAACTTAAAAGTATAGATAATATTAAACTTTGTCATAAATTAATTCATAATATTTTCAATAAATGCTTCAACAAAATATATTTATTAATACTAGATCATAATAATTTTTTTATATTATAATTTAATTTAAAGTATATCACTGTTTCAGTTAAGATTTTTATCAAATTTTTGAAATAACAATACAAAATGAACATATTTAGTTGAGACTTTACATAAAAAGTGTATTAATATTACTTTATTGTAGACCAATAAAATTGAATTCGTATAAATTTCAATAATTTACAATGGATACTGCACCTCACATAAGATACTTATATCATATATAATTTTTTTTTTTACCTTTTTTTAATATAACTTTTATATTTAATATATTTTTATTGTATTGGTAATTTTTTTTATTTACAAGTAACATTTTATAGTAAAATTGTATACATTTAACAAAAATATATATTGAACAAATAAAATATCTGCAAGTACACTATGAACTATATGAAAATAGCAAAACATAATAGTAGTAATAATGAGATATATATATTACTTATTATTGATCATCTGATTTTTTATTTATTCTGACCTTTTTAAATTAAGGTTAAAAATATTATACGAATAATAGATACGAGTTACATGATATTAGTATAAACAAATATTTATAATATAATAACAATTTAATTAGTTCTTGCATGAAAAAATAATAAAATGCAGTCAATAACAGTTTCCGAATTTATTTTAAAAAGTTTCCCCAAATCTTGAACAACTGTTCCGACATATTTTCGACTAATATAACAACTAATTTCTTATACATTTATGATTAATATTATATATATTATTAATTGAGCATTTTTATTAAATCAATAAATTTTCCAAAAAGTTATTTATTAAAATAGAAAAACGAACTTTAAAAAGAGAAGTAATATTTATGTCATTAAATAACTCAAAAATACTTACATTTATGATCTTTCTGTCCGTACTAAATCGAGATATTAAATAGAGTTTGAAATAAATAATATCGAAAGATATTTCATTCTTATATTTTTATTTTAACTGATTGAAATAAGTTCCATTCTTTTAAGTTTTTGATGTTTTAATTAATTAAATAATTTTAGCAAATATTTTCTGGAACTATATCTAGACGTTCATGTTTATTTAATCAATAGCGTACCTGTTTAATTCTGAACATTTAAGATATATTTTAATCAATTTCATTTGATATACTAAACTTTTAAATCAATATTAATTTAACAAAAAATATTATATTATATATATAAATAAAAGAAATATTTTAGCTACTTCTCCGCTTTTGATATTATAGGATAAATTAAATATAATAAGTAGATAAATAATTATAATCCTTCGTTTATTGATCACAAATTTACATAGGTTTTTAGATTATTTCATCTTCTTGAAATGAATTTTTATAATTTATAAATGAAAAAAGCAAATAGTACCACGATCAAAGATTTTCTATTTTCATATAAAATTTATTTACTTTATTGATAAGAATACTTTAATGAAACATTGAAATATTATCTTATAATAAATTATTTTAGATTTGGTCTTGTATTAAATTAAATAAATATAAATACGTATTTAGTAGACATCATTATTAAGTATATTAATTGTCCAGATAAAAGAAAATAATATAATTTGAAGTTATTAAAAATTCATATTTTATGTAAAATATATAATCACATATTTTATATAATATATTATATATATATATATATATATTATTATATATTATATATATATATATTATTATATATTATATATATATATAATACATTACAAATTAATTTTAATTCAACCTAAAATCAGAAAAAAATAAGACATCAAAACTATACATTCAAAGCGAATGCTATTTAATAATTTTAATACCTGATTACAGATTTTGGGCAATACAATAAAAATTCCAGATCGGAAAATAATATGAAAAGAACTTCTTATAAAGACAAAGAGGAAAGCTCTTGAAGTTATTAGGATGAATTTCATTTTATTAGCTTCTGCATATAACATCTGTAAATATCAAATTTTGTATGGGCATTTCTTAACGAATCTATAGGCATGTCAACAACGAATAAAGAAGAACGAAGAACGTTGTTAGTTATTGGAATTATTAACAAACTTGAGTTCCTAATGCCTTTTTCCTTTCCCGCATGTACGCGTGCGCGCTCACACAAACTATGTATATATATGTATTTCCACACATGTATTTGCACTTATACCATTAAAAAAAATTCCAGTTAATGTAACACTAAAATTTTAAATGTAGTTTAAGAGTGTTTTTATTACAAAAACTATTATTATAAAAATAGATATAAAAAATTTTTAAGTTTTCTTTTTAATTAACAATATTAGAAACGCAATTTTTTAAAAAAAAACGAAGTTTTTTGTGGTATTTTATTATAAGTAATATTTCTGATTTTTATAGTCTTTTAGGTTTAAAACTAATTAAATTTCTAACTCATTGGTTTTTATGTAATAATTAAAAATTGTATTTATAATGATGTTAAAAATAATTTGCAATATTATTTACGTATTATTAATACAAGTCAGTTTTGGAAAATTAGTTGTCTATTACGTTAATAGACAAGAAGATAGAACTACATAAAATAATTGGAAATATTGCAACTAGCACGCCCTACGAATAAGTCGATGTAAAAATTAAATGATATAATTAGTTTTTATATATAATATGAATAATTTAGTAGTTACGAATATATAACTAATTTGAAGATATCTTTCTTTGATTGTATGATATTCTATAACCATATATCGTTATCGTGTTACAAAACAAAAATAATATAACTAATAATAATTAATCAATTAAATGGTTTTCATAGTTTATTGGATCATAGTTCCTGAAGTAGTAATGTAACCAAACCAGTTAAAAATGTAACTCATTAATGTCTCAGAAGTTTGTTCAATTATAAAGTAAATTGCTTACATGCTGATAAATAATAAAATATAAAAAAATTATTGAAAATGTATTTTAGATATACAACACATATTTATGTACATAAATTAACTTTCCAATGATTAAAAACGATATAATTATATTAATAAATTATATTTATATATTTATAACAATAAAAATATTTCAAGTATTACACCTTCTTTTATCTGAACGTACATTTTCAATAAAATAAAAGCTGTATTAAGGATAAATACATATATTTGTCATATATATTCTAGATAAAATATCTCGTAATTTGATTATATAAGGAAATATACAGGTAATAATAATTAATTATAACTTGTATTGAAAATATATGATAAACTATATATTACATAAATAAAATTTCAAAATAATGGAAACATTTATGGCCTTTATAATTTTTTGTACAAATTATCAGAAATATTATTTATTTCTCAGTAAGAAATAATGCAACTATTAAAATATTATCTATTTCTAAACAATTTGGTTATTTATTATATTTTTATTGCTAACATTATTGTTTATTATATTTATTATATTTTCATTACCAATTTTATTGTTTATTAAATTTATTAAATCGTTATGAATAATATTATTGTTACTTATATCTATTAGATTTATTATTATATATATATGATTGTAGAGAATTACACTTAACCCATAAAAGTACTCGACAGAGCAAATTTGTTTTTATAATATATATTTATAATTTTTTAATTATTTATAGTTTATACTTTTTGATTTTTATATATTCTATAGTCTTAATTTTATTATAAAGTATCATAAAAAAGGTTATTTATCCATAAAATATGTAAAATTGAATAGACTTTATATTACTATAATTAATCATTTAAAAGAAAATTACTAAGTCCTTCTAGAACTTCCGTTTCTCATATATACCCAATGAAATAATCTTATTGAGCAAAAGCACACCCTCCATTATAGGAAATTTTGTATGAAATCTTTAATAATAATTGTAGGTACTTTATGTAGGCAGGTATGATTATAGAAAATTGATAGGTATATTATTGGAATAGTTTTATTAGCTATTTTATTTCCTTAGCATTATAAAAGTTATCTGTATTTGAATTATTAAAAAAGCGCATAAACTTTGACATATATACTTATAGTTTACAATATTAAATCCTTAAAATTATAAGAACAATAAAATCATGCTATTAAAGTTCACGTTCTTGTAAATATATTACAAATCATTTCAGTCCTAATTGAAAGAAGTATGAAGATAATTAAATGGGATAGACATGATAAACTCAATCAAAAAGTATTTGATGAAGCACGAATTTTAATATTATGGAATAAATATCTTATGTCAACTTTAGGCTTGTGGCCCAATAATAAAAGTGACTTAATTTTTGTAAGTTTATTTTGTTATTTATGCTATGCTTTCATACTAAATTATATAGCACTTTATTATGCCTTGAAATCTCTGAATTTGGTAAATATTATTGGCACCACAGTGGAAAGTATTACACTTTTACAAATTTGTATACGTTTATACACAATGAGAAGATATAATAAATATTACGGTACATTACTTAATCAATTTTTGTTAGATTTTTCTATAAAAAATTATAAAAATGATGAAGAACGAAGTATGTTTTTATCTTACAATGTACGTTCCAAATTTTTTATCAAAATAGGCGTTGTATCTATAGTACTCACAGCAATGCTTTACTTTACGAAGCCTCTCATACGACAATTACGTTAGTAGACACAATTTTAATAAGCTTTTATAGACTGATAATTATAATAAAAAGTATCCTTTTATAATTACAGATTTTACGAAAAATTTTAATTCAACCGTGACTATTAATTATGATTTGCCATATCGAATACACATTTTATATAAAGTAACAAACATAAAGCGTTACATTATTACGTATATTTCTCAGATTCCTTTACTATTCATAATTATTTTTACACAAACTTCAATGGATTGTTTAACATTAAGTATCATACTACATCTATGTGGTCAATTAGGAGTTCTCTCTATTAGAATTAATAATTTAAATGTAATGAATGAAATGAAAGAGTTTCGCCAGATTATCCAACGACATCAAGAGTTAATAATGTATAATTCATTTTTATTAGTTTTTTTAACATTAATCTTTTAAACGCTAAATTTAAAAGAGGTATTGATTTAATTAACTGAAATTATTTTTATAGAATTGGATTAAAACTTAAAGCTGTATATCGACTGTGTTTATTTGTTCATTTTATTGGTGCAAGCGTAGGAATTTGTATTCTTATTTATCAAGTGCAGTTGGTGTGTATATTAATCTAAATATTAATATAAAATATGATATTCTTTTGATAAATAAACTATTATTTTAGAATGTATCTTATGGACAAATGACAAACTTATTAACATTTTTCGGTTATGGTTTTTTAAATACTTTCCGGCTCTATACGCACTGCTGGGTAGGAGAATATCTCATTCACGAGGTACAATAAACATTAATATTTAGTTTTATATAAGTAATTTTATTATTTTAATATATATATGTTAATAGAGTGTTAATATTTCAAATGCATTTTATCAATGTCAGTGGTACGATTTGCCTATAAAAGATCAAAAGAGTATAATATTTTGTATTACATGCTCACAACAACCACTTTCATTAGTAGCTGGAAGTTTTGGCGACTTTTCTTTCACGATGTTTACAAATGTATGTTTTATTCTAGTGAAAGTAATAATAAATCATATCATCAGTTGTAATTTTCATAAAATTTTCAGATTATGAAATCGGCAATGGCATATCTATCTTTTTTACGAAATTTCATTTAAATAAATTAAATCAAATTTTTACTTCTTCATAATTAATAATTGACGATTTAAAATATCCTTTTATTATTAAAATATATTTTATTGAACATTAATATTATTTTTATTTATTTATTACTTAAAATCTCTAAAAGAATTAATATATATAAAATAAAACTTGTTCTAGGACGTATTCTAAGTTAAGTCAAGTTCAAGATGATCACTTAATAACAAACTCATCTTATAACTGACAATTTTATATTTCATAATATTAATATAACAATGAAAATTATGATTTTGAAAAATAATGCCAGATTTTTCTATCTTTATCAACAAATGATTACTCTACTTTTCTTTCGAAAATTCTTTTTATGAGTAAATTAAAGAAATTTTAAAATAATTTAAATAGATAACATATCATGAATATCCTAAATTGAATTATTAAAATAAAGAAAAATTGTATCATAACGTTAACACTATGATTTAATATAGATATATATATCAAAGATTTTACATACTATGCATAGATAGTTATGCCTCTATATAATTTATAAATGCATAATTAATATTAATTTTGTATTTGTCATCTATTATAATAAATCTTATTTTTGTATTATTTTATACTATTATATTTTTAATATTTTTTATTTTTATTAAATAAATTTTTAAATAAATATTATTCATACATTATTTTTTTAGAATATTTTCGCTTTTAAAAATGTCTTTTAAAAATTGAACAAATTGATTAGTAATGTAGATTTATTTTTAAAAAATCCAAAGTTGTTTTAGTTTAAATTTTTATCTTACCCAATTTTGTATTTTAATCATAATTGCAATAGTGCTTAAATATAACAATATGCCGCTAATATTTTATTTAATAAATTTATTTAATATTTCGGCTTTACATAAAGTTTATGTTACAAATCTTATAAAATCCTTCATTGTATTAAATTAAACCTATTTAATATATACGCAAATTAAGAAATTATAAAGTATTTTAATATTTGATTTTACTTTAACATTATTATTATGCATATTGGAAATATGTTAGATATTGGATTAAGTAATTAATAAAATAATTAATAAAATAAATGTAATTTTATGTTGGATGATATTTAATGTTGTATAAATATTATATGATATATTAATTAATTTTATTTATAATAACAGATTTACTAATTGTACGTTAACTAAGCACATTATTAAGATATTACAGATAATGAAAAATGAAAATTATAGAAAAATATCTGTATATTTTCTTAAAAATATACAGTTTAAGGTATAAAACTACTTATTATTTAAAAATATATGTTATTACGATATGAATAATTAATTGAGATTTGTGATACGTTTAAAAACATTTTGGGAAATGATTTCTTTAAAAATTAATGTTATGTTGCCCGATTTTAAACAAGTATTACTTATATTTAGATTTCAATTATATATTATTATTACATCAATTAGAAAACAAAATATCGTTGCTTTTATTAATTTAGAGATGTAGTTATATTTAAAAATCTCATATTTTATATTTGTTTAAATATAATAAATTTGTTTTAAATTGCTTCCATATAAAATATTATTTTTCAATCTTTTTGATGATCTTTTCATTTATTTTTGAGATTTTTAAAGTTTCTTCAATATAAAATTGGGACTTCAATTTTGTAATAATCTGAGCTTATTATTACAAACTAGCAAATTTTGAGATATTAAAAGTATATGTTATTTACATTTGTCCCAATTTCATATTTCAAAAAGTACATATTCGGATTATGGTATTTTAATATCGAGCAGTTATAATGATCACATTGTAGATGAATACAGAAGAAACTAAACTTGTAATTTAAATGCATTACTTATAAAATTAAATATAAATAAATATATATTTAATTTTTCTAAAATATAAAGATTTCGTTTATATCTACGAAATTGGATTTTTTTATTTATTCATGTATTCGCTATACGAATATGAACAATCCAATACTGCACAATACAATTCTAATACTGAGGTTATTAATATTTTAATTTGTATCAAATAATATAATACGAAGTTTCTTAACAATAATGTAAAATGTATAAGTGTAGACTTCGAAAGTATAAGATGTCTCAAGTCGAGAATAAATGGCGCACAAAATATTAGTTATGATTATTTACACATTGAGTTAAAAAAAATCTTTAAATAATTTGTAGTCATTGGACTGGCTTAGTCATTACCCGAAGGATTAACTGTCCTACAGCGATTTGACCTAATAGATTTAGACCATTTGAAATTTGCAGTCAAAAAAGAAAATTTGCTTTAGTTGTAAACGCTGTATTATTACTTTATAGAGTTATTATTACTTTAATATATATGAAAGTGGTTGCCAGCAAAGTAATGCTAAAGCTTTATTCTTGCACATACTATTTCTATTGAATAAAGAGATTGGTCATATTTTGTATATTGATAAAATTCAGTTAACTATGTGATACAAATCTTGTCCAGGAGAGACTGTGAAATCCAGGATTAACGCAGAAATTTATTATTTAGATTATTATATATCATATATCAATATCATATAACAATTATATGAATATATGTTATTTTAATCTTGGATGTTGTATAACTAATACATTAAAACTCTATTTATGTATGTAAATAAAAATATTTTATTTAAAAAATTTTTCCTTATTCCGTTTGTTGATTAATTTTACATAACTTATCGTGAAGGAGTCAAATTAAATTCAAAATATGAACTTAGGTACAATTTTAACACTTGACATGATGATTAAATAACATTTAATTATTTAATAATTATTTTATATAATGATTTTAAATACTTTTAATATAAAATGTAATATAAAATTTGCGAAAGCTAAAAGAGCCCTGGAACTGTTTAAGATTTTGGAAAGTCTTCATCGGAACATGCGACCCTTTTGTTCTGCACCAATCGAGAATATTGTGCAATTCCGACGTCTAACCGCTAGGGGCGGTAGCGCAGGGTTACTTTACAAATTTCTAATTGTTCCTTGTTGATGTTCTGTCCGTTTTTATATGTACAGAAAGTCTCAAGGGAGTTTTACAATTTATTTCATGGTCAACAATAAGGTTTTATGCATTAAATTTGCCCATAAAGTGCTTGTTAAACCGTGCAAATGTCCGAGAATAGTTCCGAGCCCTTGGAGCCTGTTGAAGTGTTGCAATTATTAAGAAGATTATGATAATCGGCATTGGTCATTTTATCCTAGCTTGAATCCATTGTTTTGTTTTATTTCTTTGAGTCCATTAAATTGTTGTTGCGGATGAACTCCAGCAGGTCGACTTTCTATTGTTGGTGGCGTCGAAAAACGCGACAATAAACTATTACATTAGATTCTTTCAGATCTTGGCGTACTCCAAACAACCAAACTCTTAGAAAATACAAGAAGTCATGAATTTACAAACGCTTTTTCAGGATTTTAATCCAAGGTAAGATAATTCTTTATTATATATTTTTTTATTATATTTTATTATCTTGTTATTATATTTTAATCACTTATTATCCGACAATGCCGAAGTATCACATGATTTTACTCTTTTAGGTTAATGTTCAACTCTAACCAATTCTTATTGTTGCCATGTTTATAGATTGCGCTCAGCTGTTCTTTTGTTTTGAATGAATTATTACTTGATTATAAATACATTTTTTTTAATTTCGCACAAGGAATCCTTAATTACATTACGATATTTTGTGTTACATTTAGTGTTGATATGTATTATGATTGTATAGATTTTTTCAATGCATTTAGAGTATTTTTATATTTTAAGACTAGTTAGTATTAAATATATAATTTTTAAAATCTATTTTTTTTAATAATAATATTGTTGTATTAAATATAAATTATATAAAATTGTGTCATTAGAATTAAAATATTAATTTTTAATTTTAATTATGCAATAAAAATTTAAATATTTAATTATATACATATTAGGATATGATGTTGCTATATAATATCCTTAATTTTATTGTTTAGCAAGTTCCTGGTACATTCTTGTTTGATGATCTTTACTGCTCTTTTTGTATTACGACTTGATGGTTTTATTGTATGGAACTATTGGGCAGTATTTAGCCCAATATGGTTTTGGAAAGGTATGGTGATCTTAGGTGCTACAGTTGGTAGCTATGTGTGGTGGAGACATCCACATTCACGACTTGAAGGAGAGGCATATGTCCATTACAAAGCAATGCTTATTACTTTAGCATTACATCTGATTTTGTTAATGTTTGAACTTTTAGTCTGTGATAAACTTGAATCTGAACGACATTTATGGATTCTTGTGTTCATACCTTTAATTTTTATTTCTATTGTATCAATTGCTGTAAGTATTCTATATTCAGTTTTAATTTTTGTTAAATCAATAAATTTTTTACAATTTTGTTATCAATTTCCATTAAAATAGAATACATTTATTTTATTGTTATTTGCATAAAATTTACAAAAAGTATTGTTTTTAGGTATGCATTTGGGCTGTAAAACATGATCGATCTTTTGAACTTGAACTATTTTGTGCAGTCAATATTTTACAATTTATCTTTCTTGCACTTAGATTAGATGGTTTTGTTACATGGAGCTGGGAAGTGGTATTTGTTCCATTTTGGGCTCTATTATGTTTATCCCTTGTTGCAGATTTGTATGCTATAGTCTTTGCTGCAGTTTTATTAAGAACACCTCAAATTAATGCAAGACAAAGGAGAACATCCTTGAATACAGCATTAGCATATACATTTTTAGTTGTACCAGTATTGGTGTTTCAAGTAGGTATAAAAAAGCAATATATTTATTATTCATATCTCATAATTTTTACATATTTCTCTTAAAATTTTTTATTTTTTCAACTGTCATATATTGTATAAATATACATAATATACTTTAAAAAAATGTTTATTCTTTTTTATTGATGTATTTTAAAAATCATAAAATTCTAACTTTTAAAATTTAAAATAATTATAATTAATTTAATGCAATTAAATAGTGAATTAATTAAGAGCTTACATTATTATTCCATAAATTTTTATGTTAATATTGTATAGGTATTACTGGCAAATAAATTAGATGGTGATATTTCTCTTAATTATACTACAATAGCTATGCCATTACTATTATCTCATTTAACGCTCATCTCCATGTCCTTTGGAGCTAAAGGAGGAAATCGATGTTAGTAAAATATAAACGATTTATTAAACAGTTTAATTATATTAATTTATATATTTATAAATAGAATATTGTATATTTCATTTCATCAAATTTATTTATACAATTTTTATTTCATTTATTTTTTAGGGTGGTTTGGAATTAGAAAAGATTTTTGTCATTTTCTTTTGGGTCTATGTCCTTTGTTACAAGAATATGGTAATATTTCATATCAACCAAGAAGTGCTGAAGATCATCCAGTTGATTCAACTGTATTTGACAAAAATGAAAAAAATATTAAGAAAATAGATTTGACAAAACCTGTAGAACCCATAATTTCCATAGACATGCCTGATTGATTAAATTGTCTTTGATAGTTATTCAAAATTGAAAATGGATTTCCATGCTGATTTACTGTGAAATTATAACTCAGACTCTATGATCAAAATATTTTTTCTTAGAGGATCTTAACAAACTAGCAAATATTTGTAAGAAGTGATTCTTTATAAAAGGATTATTGAAGTAATAATTTGCTATTAAAAGAGAAAAAGTTTTTAAAATGTATTATATATTATATTAATCGTTTTAAAAGTAAATTAAAAGAAGTAGCTTATGTAAGGAAAAGCATGTAATTTATAATGGTATTATTGTCTTTTTCTATTTTGTAAATTTTATTAGTTTAAAACTAATGTAAAATTTTTATTGAACTTAAATTTCTATCGTTTAATTCAAAATAAAAATTCTTATAAGTATAGGAGCATCATAACACTGGTAGTTCATTGATAATGATAGTTAAATATAAACATAGTAAAATATTGATTTAAAAAAAATTATATAAAATTTCTTAATTTCAAGAAGTTTAGTTATTAGTGAAATATTTAATATATCAATGAGTTGTTTTAATGTATTTTTAATAATGATGATAACGAGCTTCTATATTTGATATTTAAAATTCAGTTAATTTATTTTAAATAAGTTCTTTTTAAAAATAATTTTGTTTCATATTTTTTTTTCAAATATTTATGAAAATAATATTAGAAAAAAAGATTTAAAGCATTTAAATTCAGATTATAAATCATACAGTACATACAATTTTTCTACTATAAATAGATTGTATTTAATTAATTTGATATTTTATTAATACCATTTTATTGTATAATTTAAGTTTGTCAATGGAAGTTTCCTTAAAATGTGAATATTTTAATATAGTTTTTTTTTTTGTTAATTGAATGTAACTTCAATATTTTTAAAACTATTAACTTTTAAAAATTAATATTTTAAAACTATTTGTAATAATTTAATGAATTGATATTTTGCATACAAAATACTACTGTTTCATAAACATTCAATGTGAAATGTACCTGTTGCTATTTGCTAATTGATATTAAATCAAATTTCATCCTTGATAAGATAGCATATGTTTCGTGTAAAGATCAAGATTTGTGGTTTTATTTTCTTTTACTTTCTTTCAAATAAAATGAAATAGTGAATATTTAAAACAACCTAATCGTATAATAAAGTATATTGATAAACTATAACTACTATACTACTGCTACTACTGTTATTAACATTTTTTACTATAACTACTGCATTAATTTATGCTTTAAATACACTCCCTTGCACAAATGACTTAGTTTAAATGGCTTGAATGTGAGTGTATTATGAATAGGCACGTCGAGATTTTTCAATAATTGACAAAGATAGCGGGTACTCTAAAAAATTAATTGAATGTAACACTTATACAACGATGAGAGAAATACGTTCCTATTTCTCGGTGTTTAGCTGATAGTGTTTTATCGTTTTCCATCTCTCTCTATTGTTTAAAACCTAAGATCATGGTCTTTTGTCTTTACCATTTAAAGGAAAAACTAAGTGGTTGCATCCCATTGAGTAAAGTTAATTGGATAGAGGTTGTTATTATTACTAGTATTTCTACGATAATAATTATTTTATCTTTAGTTCAGTTAAATTGTAATTTAAATTTTGAGTTAAAAATTTATTAAATGGTGATACAAGAAAAGAATATTTTACATATGTAATTTCATAAATATATTGTATTATGTCGTTATCAATCGATCATCCGTTCATGTTCAATGTGGGATGAAAAATACTTTATATTAAGAACTTGTAGAGAACCACTCTGCATATATTACTTTTTGATAATGTCTTCTTTATACAGTATTTGATTATTTAACAAGCGACTTTAAATATGTCGTGAAAGCAATTGTAATAGAGGATCAAAATATAAACTTGAAATTTGTATCTCTATCTAAATTTATTATTTACGAATTCCGTATGTCTCGAGATATTTATTAACTTCGACTCTATTATGAGCTATCTATGGTAGTTCCGTTTTAAATATTACAAATAGAATATTAAGATAAAATATTTTCTACAGAACTTTTTGACGACTATAATTTCACAATATTACTTATACTACATTCAGTGATATTAACAATATCATTACTTTTCCCCATCACAGCAGTATTTGGTAATTAAATTTAAAATTAAAACAAAATAATATCGCTAGTTACATATTTTAACTGATTTTTAAATTACAACTTTACGAAATTCAATCAAGAAATATTCATATATCCGTCTCGCATTTTGGTATTGTAATATTTATATGTTCAGGTTTGATACGTAAACTATAAATAGCATATTTAAATTATGATAAAATTGTTATATTTGATGTTACGTCATATATTGCTGAATTCTATGTATAAAAACAATTTAAAATGATAAGTAATATAACTGTCGAATCTAAAAAAATTAAAATACAGATATAAATTAGTAGTAGTATAATTAAAATGGTAAAAAGGTTATTTATTTATAATACAAATATTTTTAAAAGTACTGTAATCATTTCATTTATAATTTAATGTTTTAATTATGAAATATTTAATTCTATAAATGTGACTAACAAATATACATTTTAGATTAAATAAATTTAAGCTTAAAATAATTTGTAAAAATATTAACACCGAAGAATCTATGAACAATCTACGCATCTATGAATAGATAAAATGTCACAATGAATTGTCGTAAAAGACTTACTGTTGTTACAAAATTAAGAATTTATATAATAATTAACTTTATTTTACTTTATAATTTTATTAATGTATACCATATTAATTTAATAATGAGTGGATAAAATATACGAACTATTTCGTGTTGCTTAAATGCAATAATTAAAATTTTATTAAAATGACACAATCATATAAGAGTAATGATTATATTTAGTGTTATATTATTTTTATTAGTTGAAAAATAATTGGGAAACGTATCGAAAAATACATTATCATATACATTTACAAGCACCTTTTCTGTTAATAAATAATTGAACATACCTTATAATATATGAATGAATTTTTATTTGAAGAGATAAAATAAATTTTATAAGAGAATTAAATTACAGGAATTTATTGTTAATATTAATAAAAATTGTAGTTGCTAAAAGGTTCACTTATTTGTAAAGTAATCTATTGAATAGAAAAAAGCTGTACATGTTTGATTTTTCTGATATTTTTATAAACTATTTTATATTTAATTGATGATATTTTATTTTATATAAAAAAGGATATAATACTTTTCCAAAGAGGAAATGTTATTTAACCAAATTTCTATTTTTTCTTATTATATAAATTACATTAACAATAAAACCTTAAATATTTTGAAATTTGGTTTAATATTAAAAATTTAAATATTAATCTTTATTTTAATTTTAAATCGAAGACTTATTGTAATTTATTACAATATTTATTTATTTGTATTAAAATGTAGAGGAAATGTATATAAATTTACTACGAGTTACTTGCATATATATAATTTTTCTTTTTTATTACAATTTAATTACAATATAATTGTTATACGTATTTTTTTAATATAAAAATGTTTTCAAAGGTATAAATACGCTTTAAATAATATTTTAAATACTTTTATGAGATAATGTATATATTAACTATACAAATATTGAATGATTGTATAAATACTTTGAAATAATTTGTTATTACCAATATGGAACATAATTAGGTTTCCAAGATTTTCCTAAAAGGGATGATACTTTTTCAGCAACTTCTGTTATACTATATTCTGAGTTTTCAATCAAAGATGTATCCGAAACATACAAAATTTTTAATCTTTCACAGCAGAGACCAACAAATTCAATAAATCTGGAACAACTAAAAAAAAAAAAAATGTTTCAATTGAAAAATATTAAAATTATACGTTAATATTATAAAATGTATTTAAGTAAATATATTTTCTCAATTCTAAAAATAAAATTTAAAACATTATTTGTTCTATGAATTTTATTTTTAAGAATAATTTTAAGCTTTGCTAAGTGATAAACATAGAATTTTTATTACTTTCATTGTCATACCAATAATTTGATATTTTATGTGACTTATTTATTTTTTAATATAAATACCTTAAATGTTAATTAGTTATCTCATAATATTGTTAACAGCATAAAGTAATTATTATGATGTACCATTCTATAAAAAATATTACAACTGTTGAAAATATCCTTTTATTTTTATTATAAGGATTTATCTATTTTTCAGTACTTATAATGTTCTTACAGAGTATGTATCATAAATATTATAAAAGTGTAATAAGTACATGAATAAATTCTTATTAACATCTTCAACAATAAAATTATCAGACAAATGTTATTGTAGCAAAACGTAAGTTTAATAAAGCAGGTTGATGTATGCATAACATTTTTCATTCTCTTTTATAATGAACGATCAATATGTACTTTATATTTATATATTAAGCATTGAATTTGGATATTTATTCATTGTATATGTATTAAATAAAACTATTTAAATTTTTAATCCAAGTGAAAATAATGAAATTTAATATAAAACTATTAATATTTTTAAAAACCAAGTTAATGCAACGGTTAAAATTTTTATTGAAAATAAAATTTATTGATATACATATTTTTTTAAATTAAATGTATTATCAATTATAGTTAAAAAATAATATAATGTTGACTAAAATTTTATTTAGGATATCTAACTAATTTTAATTTCCATTGATATCTATATACAATTTTCTTAAATAATTACTTCACTCAGAAAATTATTTTTGATTTTTTTGTTATCAATAAAATAATGCAATAAACAATAAATTATTCATTATTTCGTAATTATATTATTATCAATTAAAAATGTGATGGTTATTTCGTAAAAATTAGTAATATTAAAATTAAATATGAAACTAGTTTTTTAATGTTTATTCTTTGACATATAAATCATTGAAAAATTATAATGAAATGGTTTATATATAATTTAAATTCTGAAAATAAGTGGTAAATAAACAAAGATTACGTGAGCTCGCAGTCTCCGAGTCCGACGGCACTAAGTCGTAGACAGCCTCTTGCTGCAGATATAAGAGTTTCATCAATCGGGTTTGGACCGTAGGCACCAATCACTAGCTCTTCAAGATGAGGACATCGCTCGCCAATCCCTTCCACGACAGATGACGGCACTCCATCTCCAAAATAGAGATGCGTGAGTGGCACATACGGCACTAACAACTCATTGTAGTCCTTTGCTTCTGTCAAGAATGTCAGTCTGTAGGCAATTTCTTTACTCGTTAATATTTACTTTTGTTGTAATTATCAAGCATTTATTAAGAGTTGTATCATTTTATAAGCAAAATACAATTATTTTATTTTATTATCGTATCGTAATAATCGTTTATTTTAAATATTTATCTTATTAAATAGTATTTTTTTATTTAATTTTTTATTATTTACTATATTTATATTTCGAGTATACATTATAAAATGTATTTTAAAGTATATTTTTTAATATTTGGTAAAATGTAATGCTTTACAATTCTTCAAAGCTATTCTATATTATAAATTGCACTACACGCACAGATATGTAAAATGCATAAAATTTGTCTTTGATAAATTCGAGTGCACATTAAAGATAATATTGAATTATTATGACACAATGCAATAAAGAAAAATAAATAAAATTTAAAATGAAAAAGTTATATTCTTTAATAAAGAATGTAGCAAATAATGTATCAGGCCTTAATGGCTAAAATATAGAAGTTAGATTGAATATACGTGATCATTTCAATGATTGAGATTAAGTTCTTATGGAGCTTCAGGAATACAGAAATTAAGTTTTTACGAAATAATAAAGGAGATCGATTGACATGCATTTTTAACATTTTTTGAGTTTTTCTTTAATTATTATATTCGCGCGAAGTAAAATAAATTTTATGTAATTTACCTTTTTTATGTCTGTAGATGCGAGCAGTTAGTGCAGATGTTAGTTCTATATCCTAACTTTTTCAATATATACATATCTTAAATAGTAATAAAATTATTTTCCCTTCATTATTATTCGAATAATAAATTCTTTACTGATTACAATATTCTATTTTTAAGAGTTATTCTTAAATATTTAGTAAATTAAAAATATAATTTTCATTTTCATTTTATTCATTCAAAAAAATTCACTCGTATGTTATTTATTCAAATTTAAATATCTAAATGTATGTCTTAAATTTATATATATATATATATATATATATATAATGTAATAAACGACAATATCTCTTTTATTATTTATATTCTTTCATGATGAAGTGATAAAAAATGTTCCTTATTATTTTATGTTATTAAAACGACATTTCTACGTAATATAATAATCCATAAAGTTAGTATGTGAATGTAAATAATCAGAAGGTAAAAGAAGTTGTACTTACAAAACGAAATTGATATTTGGAAAATGATTAGTGAAGCTGGTCCACGCCTCATGACTAACTTTTGAGGCGGGCTTTATGTCCGGATGTGCCTCTACTCGGAGAGTTTCCAAGCGAATTGACTCGGTATCACAGAGTACTTTTACGAGTTGCTCACTAAGCATCGAATAAGGTAGAGATAATTCCCGAATGCTGTTGCAAAAGCTCGTTAGTTGTACAATACCTTCCAATAAATGTTTCAAAATTTAGAATAATCTTTAAAAAAAATTGCAATTTCTTCTCCCAAAAAAAAAAAAATTCTTACTATCGTGAAAATATACAGAAATTATGTTTTTAATTAAATTAAATTTATAAAACGTCGATTGTTTATATATAATTATATAATGTTTTTAATGTCTTAAATATAAAATGAAGATAATATAATATAATATAATAAAATAAAATAATATAAGATTATATAATCTTTCAAAAATATGGAAAATATAATACTAATAAAATATTACATAACTATAATATAAGTAAGAAATGAATATGCAAAGTCAGAACGTAAGAACATAGGCTTAAAGAAACTTTTTGAAAAGAATATATTCCTTGATTATAATAGATACCTCTCGCTGTTAATTGTGAACTGTTTTTGTAATTGTGTGTCAATTGTAACGTTGTTGAATAGTTAGATGGTGAAATGGATAAAAATGGTTCGCCAAAGTACATAGATGTTAACACATTATTATCTAGTGAATCTTTTTCCGAAGATATTGTTAAAGCCATCGGAAAACGATTGTTATCAACATCGACAAATTTTGACTGATCTTCATTTATTAAAGCGATCATATATAAAGTTCATAGTGTATTTAATAAATAAACTATTTATATATTAAGTTATAATTATGTTACTTTTAGTCGATTTTAATAATAAATTGCTGATAAAATAAAAAATAAAAAGAACCATTGTAAGGAGTTCTTGACATAATGATCTAGAAGTTCGTTAATTAATTAATAGCAATTATAATAATACTTGATCGAAAAGTTTAAGATTATTTAAGTTAAAAATCTTTCTACAGAACGATTAACCTTACAGAAGTTACTTGTTAAAAAAAATAAAAGTCAGAAAAATATCGAGCTATTTAAAGCGTGCAACGTGGCTTAGTATCTGCTGCTCTTCGTTCCAACTTCTGGGGTTCGACTGTTGTAGCTCATAGTCGCTTGTAGAACGGAGCACTATTCAGAGAAAGGATAAAGTAATGATCAGGAGTAACATTCGTTTCTTTCTGTTTTCGTTTAGTCTCGTGTGAGTTGCACGTAACACGTGACTCCTAACCGGGGATTATTAAGGTAGCACAGAATGGTGAGCCTTAGGCCAAGTACATTGCTTTTCAATGGGTATGATTTCATCATAATTCGCCTTGCTTGTTGCAGCAAATTAAATGTACAAAAAAAAATAATTGCCTCCAGTTTTCCGAAAGGTGCATAATTTTTAAAATCTAGTTTCTTTGAAGATTTATATCGTGAGAATAATTTTCGATTTTAAAGAAATCTTTTTATATCTCTAAAATTGTATAAAATTCAGTAAAAAGAAAATAAGTTATAAATAATTGTTTAAATAATTAAATTATCAATTATAATAAATATAATATATTACAATAATATTGTAACGTTCAAGAAAATAAAATTTAGTGTAATACAAGATATATTTATGCAAGCCTAGATAATTCATCTTAAATAAATTAATTTTATATGGAACAATGATATATTATCAGTGATATACAGTATATTTTTTGCTTCCAAGTAAATTTGATTAGCAGTATTTAATATGAATAATAAATTCTGAAGATAAGTATACAATCTATTTATAAAAAAATCAATTTTAATTAATTTATTTTATTTTATTTATATAATTTGATTTATCTTTTGAAAATTGTTACATATATTCCATAAAACAGTTTTTATTATTAAAAACTGGATTTTCTGACAACCTGTTTTGTTTTCTCGTTACCCAGATTTTGCGATTATTTTCATTATTTTAAAATAATTTATAAGATAATTTTTTTAAAAAATACATCTGTAATTTAAAATTCTTAAATGTAATTACAAAAAACGTATTATTAATTTAGATTTTTAATTTAATAATTTTAATTTTTAATAATGCAGACTCAAACTTCATAATATATATAATAACTGTAAATAAGGAAATTAATGTTATAAGTTGAATATCAACAGTAAAATTATTTAAAATTTTAATCACTAATTACAAAATTGATATAAAAAGTTAAATAATTTTAATAATAAAATCTTGAGTCAACAAATAAGAAGCACGTGGACATGTGATTGAGGCTATAAATGCAACATTACACTCACGCCGAGCTCGCGTGAGCATTGCGAAAACGCTCGATCAAGTCAATGTTTCGGATTTCAAAGCGAAAAATAAAAGAATGATCAGCACGGCCTTGCTATGACATCATATACTTTCACTTTCCGTTAATGCCTATACGTAAAAATGGCTGACAATTGCATACTTTCTATACTTTGCAGCTCTCCCTCTATGTGAATTGTTTCTTATTCTAATATTTATTATTCTATAAGAAATCTATTCACTGTTTTTAAGAATGCATTTATTTTTATTTTTATTAAATACTTAAGAGGAAAAAACAAATTTGAATAAGCAAATTAAAATAATCGTTTGTTATATTTGAGCTAAGACTGAAATCATTCTGATATTTATTATTCTGATATACATCATAATATTTAATTATTATTTAAATTAGTAAAAATTATTATTATTATTATTAGTAAAAACTCATTATTAGATCGTGATATAGAACTAAATTAGTGAGACTTCATCAAAGAACATATGCAATTATGAAAGTTCTAAAGTTCATAATGTATGTCTCAGATAAAAATATTTACGAAATTATATTAGTAGAAAAATATAATGCATGTATTGATGTAAATAATTAACAATAATTATGTAATATATTAATAAAATGCATATAAAATTGAATATATATTGTATTATTTATTATTAATAACTTTTTTATATACCATAATCGGATAGGATCTCATACGTATAATAATTCTGGACAACATAATTATTCTGAAGAAATACTTAAAATGTCAACTTTTTAACAATTCATTTTTTTAAAACTCAATACATATTTATTTTAAAATAATAAAAATTGAATTTTAATATCAGTTCGTTAATATATATAAATATATTACAAATGAATTTAAATAAATATAATAAATGAACGGGAGTTTAGATAGTGTTAAATTAGATTTTATTGATTTTATGATAATCAAGTAAAATTTTTACTAATATACAGAAATAAAAAAGAATAAAATAAATAGATGTAATATAGACAATAGATAAAAACCATGAGAAAGAACTATACATTATGAAATTAATTAAGTAATATGTAATCTTATAATAAATTTAATAGTGTTGTGAAATAAAAAAAAAAAGAAAAACTAAAATATGCGTTGGAAATGGAATAATAATAAATATAACTATATCAAAATGTAGGTTTTCACGAAAGTATATCAGCATATATATTCAAATGTATTTACTATTTCTATACAATAGTAGTGCATATAACGAAGCGTAATAATTGAGTTTCATTATGTTTTCATAACTTTATTATGCTTTATTACTAATTGTTTAATTAGATGTTTTCAAATCAAGAGGAGAGAAAGTTGAATGATGGTGTTTGAAAAGTTAGTAGCTTATAAAATTAATACAACAATCGATCAAAAATATTAGAAACATTTATAATTATACACGTGTTCTTGATATAATGAAAGTGAGAAAGGGGAGAGGAAGAATGCTCTGAGACATTTATGAATATTATATTCTTTTATTTATTATAATCATAATTACTTAATGAAATTTTCAATTTCAAATAAATACATAGATTATTTGATATTATAAAAAATAAGTAATAATAAAGTATTGTATTTTTATTTGGATTTGTATTTCAATTAATTATTACATTATTACATTTAAATGTTTTTAAATTTACCTTAATATCTTTCTAATTTAATACTTATTTATCAATGAGCATGTTTACATTTTTTCATTTATCTTAATATGTTTTACATATATTAGTAATTAATGTCTTATAAAAAGAAATTTTTTTATTTTCAAACGATAAATGAATAAATATTAAAATTATATTTTTTTATCGTAGATATCGAATGATTATATAATAATAAAAGAAAATAAACATATATTGCAATAATTATGTTACATTTCACCATTATTACTTTCAATAGTAATGAATCGAACTTTATTCATTATTTTATACTTTTATATTTGTAAATTTGAATACTTTTAAAATGTTTTATTCAATTTTTGTAATCTAATAATATTAGAATTATAAATCTACTTAAATTGTACAAATTGTTATTTTCAAATAATAGAAAAAGTGAACGATGACGTTTCGTCATTGCATAAATTTAGCTAACATGAATGCAGAGTAATTGAATTTAGAATTTTATTTTTTCTTTATGATTGTAATATTCAATATTTAAGAATATAAACACCGAATTCTTTTGGGTCTCGCATTAAGAAAGTTTCAAAAGTATTAATTGAGAACATTACACTTACCATGCGAATATACATAGATCTTGTACTTTATTACCTATATAATTAGAACCACACATCAAAAAATTACAGAAAGGATTTATATTATTGAAAAAAAGACATACCTAGGTATGAATGAAAAAATTTAACAAATTGTGTTATTTTTTATATGGAATTAATTGATTAAAACAAAAAATACGCAGATATCCTACAAAGTTCAAAAACATTATTTCTTATTTCTTATATAGCATATTCTTCCATTTTTCTTAAAAATTATCAAATTAATAAAAATTATGAACAAACAATGAATTAAAAAATAAAGCCAGGAATTTTTATTTAAATTATTATACTATAAAATATTGATTAGTGTATAATAATTTACGAGTATATTTATCCAATAATGTAATTCCAATTTTTTTCTAGGACAGTTTTGTAAAAGAAATACTATTATATGAATATCAATACCTTTTAATTTTTAATTACTACTAATAATTTTTCATTAAATATGTGGAATGAAAATAAGTGTCTGCTTAAATATTATTTGGAAATTTTATAGTCTATTGCATATCAAGGCATATACTTGCATTATAATAATCAATAATTTTTATTATAATAATAATTAAAGACTTTTAAATTAATAATTTTAGTGCATCTACAGATGTATTAATTAAATTAAAATATTTACTGTATAATTATTAAACAAATCCAAATGTTCAAATACGGAATTATATACGAAAAATGTTTATGATATTTATGTTTAATACTTATTAATATTTCCGCAAATGAATGGTAAATACTATGTAATAATAATGATTATTTTGTTATTTTTAATTGTAAGTCAATCGTTATACTAAATATTTTTGAATATCGCAATTGTGACTACATATATTTTAGAGAAAAACTATATTTTTTCAAAGTTTGTTAAGTATGTGTTAAGACCATGTAATATTTTTTATTTACTATTAATAATTTTATAAAATGATACGAGAACTCTAAAAGACAACTGCAATATACATTTTAATAATATTTATTATAAGATCTGCATCTTTATAAAAATACAATTCATAAATAGAATAGTTAATAATTTTGTGACAAAAAGTTATACAAATACATTTTTTAAATACCACATGAATTTTTGCGCATATTTACATAAAATTTATAGGTATTTTATGTTATCTTAATTAAATATAATTTTTATTTAAAAATGAGTATATTAAAGAAAAATATTTTTACAATTTTACAATAGAAATAAAAATGTTATAGTCACTTTTGTACTTACAATATCTATTTATATTAAATATATTAGTTTATATTTAGTGTAGGATTAGCAATATATTATACAAAGCAAGAAAATATTTTAAAATTATGAAATATTTACAATTTTTACTTTGAAAAATGAAATATTAATATTATGTATAATCAATATACATAATTTGGAAGAACATTGTATATTACTTTTATACGACAATTTTCATTTTATTAAATAACATTATTATATAATAGTTTGTACTTCAGAATACTTTTTAAAACTTAGAAAATATTATATAATCAAGTATTATATAATCGACTACTGTAAAAAAAGTAAAATAAAACTAAAAGACAGAAAAGTTTGTCTTATAAAAATCTTCAATATAATTTTGGCATTTCTAAATCAGCAATAAATTGCACACGTTCAATTGCTATCATTAACAAATTTACTCTTAGAACTTTTGATTTTAAGATGTGACTATACTAAATTTATATTTAATAAAAACAAATCTATAAATTGATACTTTGATATGTGCATGCACAAGCGCTATCAAAATGTTTACGAAACCTTCGCAATGATGATACGCTTATATTTAATATAAATAAAAATTCCATGCTGAAAACCGAAAAAATTAAAACACAATTGTGCAAGCGATCGCAAATACTAATTCCTACTATTCGCTTTATCCTTTTTTAAAGCGTAGTTCAAACCGTGACAGCTAATGCCACATCAACTATTTATGAAATAAAAAATTGTAGTTTACAACATACAATATTTATAGTTGCTGTTTTCATAGTATTTAAACTCTTCATGATTTCTGATAATATTTTTGTTTATTATGTTATATTTTATTTATATCAATATTTATTCAGAATAACATTAGTTTATGTAAAAAAGATAAAGAAAATTTGAACATACTAATAAATAGAAATTTATTTAAAACATAAGAATTTAAGAAAAGTAATTGGAAAACATCTTTTAAGCTATATATACGAAATATATTCTAATAATAAATTGAATAAAGGTATTGACACAAGTATGTAAAAAGTACAAAATACAAAATCATCCAATCAAAAGCCAATCATCTAAGAAAAAGTTTTACGCTTTTGCTTCTATATTCTTATTGATAATTGGCTGCTTCTGTAACTTGTATTATAATCGTATTTCGTATTCAAGCCTTAAATCAAAGATCTTGCATTTATTTGAGAGGGTACGTAATTTATTTAATTATCCGTTATTTACAATAAAATCCAACAATACAAAATAATAATTATAAAATTTATGAACAAGTAATATACTATCCAATTCAATTGACAATATATTTTTTGTGAAAGGAATTGTAATAGTTGAACTTCCAAAATTTATTGGCAAAGATTATATGATCATGTTCAACATGTAATATTGAAGAATACTTTTGTTCTGTTTTAGTGACTTAGAAAAACTTAAGCAATATGTCTATTCGACCAGTGTACAGGCCGAAAATCATTAAAAAAAGAACGAAGCGCTTTATTAGACACCAAAGTGATCGATATCACAAACTAAAGGTAAAATATGTAATTTTCAAAATATTTAAAACCATATTGAGTTTAGAATACAATGTAAAATATTAATTTTATTTTTAAATATTTACTTATTGTAATTATATTTTACACATATTATTTGTTAGATTGATTTATTAACATATTCTAGAGAAACTGGAGAAAACCTAAAGGTATTGATAACAGAGTTAGAAGGCGATTTAAGGGACAATATCTTATGCCCAATATTGGTTACGGTAGCAATAAGAAAACACGTCATATGCTTCCAACTGGATTTCGGAAAGTTCTCATTCATAATGTAAAAGTAAGTTAATAAAAACTATAATATGTTTGAGAAATTATTTAGACATCACTTTAATTTCTAAAATTAAAAGTAATCCATTATTGTCGCATGTTATTAAGGTAAGATAAGGTAAGATCAGGTTTTATATATAATTTTTCTGTTTTAAATTTAAACATCTATTTTAATAAATAAATTAATTTTATTTTATTTTAGTTTATTATAAAAGTGATTAGAATAATAATTGATACAATATTTAACAAATTTAAATAATTAAACGAAACAATTTGTTTTTTATAAGAATAACATTAAAGATTAATATGTATTAATAAATATTAATATGTACATTAAATATTAAATGTAAATATTTAGCATATTCATGATTAATCAAACATGTATTAATTGTAGAAACATTTATATCAAAGTTGTACCAACTAAATTGTAAATTTAATCTGACATGTTCATATTTATAATATGAAAGTAAATAATGAATGAAAACATTTTTAATTTTAATATTTTTTAGAATTCTATATTTTTATTTACAAACCAATGTACAAATCATTGATAAAAATTATCAAAACAAAAAATTAAATGATACAAAATGGTAAAGACAGATGGTTTTATTATATTTAGTAGTTGTACAATATTTATAATAATATTTAAATATTTTTATATTATATTATACTGTTTTTCTTCTTTTTTATAGGAGTTGGAAGTTTTAATAATGCAGAACCGTAAATTTTGTGCGGAAATTGCACATGGAGTAAGCAGTAAAAAACGCAAGACAATTGTTGAACGTGCCCAACAGTTATCTATTCGCGTAACAAATGCTAATGCTCGCCTTCGTTCTGAAGAGAATGAATAAATTGTAATTATTTTATATATATATATATATATATATATATATATATATATATATGAGAAAAAACAATATACGTCTATTATTTTATTTTCCCACACTCATTGATTAAATTATTAATATTTTTCGTATAAATAATCATTATTTGTTAATTTGGGCAATAAAAATAATGTTATATAGGAATTAAATTTTTTATCTTACGATAAGGATGTATATATTTCATTGCCATCTATGTTTAAATTGTGAAACTAATCGCTGTTACATTTTGGAGAATAGTGATCTGTTCTTTTAGTCAGCATTTTTCACCGTAAAAGTTTCTGAAAAAAATCAGAATATGGGAGACCGGACAGTACAAGCAAAATCAACTGAAAATACAGGTTTTATTTCGGTATCTTTATTACATAAGTGAAAACTTGTATATAAATACGAGTCCCAATATTATTTTATTACAGACGTCAATCAAGATGAACTTATACTTCAACAACAGAGACGTATTGAAAAAGAGGTTATTGTTTTATTTCTTATCAAATGTCAAGAGCAAGGTCTGATCTCAAATCAAAATAGTGACAAATCAATCTGAAAATAAATTATCTATAAATATCTTAACATTTTTTTTATATATTTGATTTTATATTTGTATAGATACAAGAAACAATTTCGTTGGTTGGCGAAAAAGAATCATTGAAAGCATTAGAAAGTGAATATACAGAAGATGATATATATTTATCAAAGGCAAGGGCATTAGCTCAAAAATATTCATTCTTTAGAAGAACAAGACCAGATGGCAATTGTTTCTTTCGAGCTTTTAGTTATGCTTATTTAGAAAAACTTATTAATAATAAAGACGAATATGAAAAATTCCGAGAACTTGCACGTAAAAGTAAAGAAAATCTGGTTGAGTTAGGATTTCCCCAATTTACTGTTGAAGATTTTCATGATACGGTAAAGTTTTTCATTAAATATTTTTATATGTATTTTTTGTATTATTCCAACTATAATAATTTTTTACAGTTTATGGAAGTTATTGATAAAGTTGGTGGGGATACAGATAATAGTTACATAGAACTTCATAAACTTTTCAATGATCAAGGATATTCGGATTATGTTGTTGTTTACCTTAGGCTAATAACTTCTGGTCATCTTCAAAGAGAGGCTGAATTTTATCAACATTTTATTGAAGGTGATCGGACAGTTAAAGAATTTTGTCATCAGGTTTGTATTTAATACTTATAAAGTATATACAGTAAGTTTATAATATTCAAAAACTATTTCTGATGAATGATTTTTTTTTAAATAATTTGTACTTTGTATTTAAAAAATGTATTATTTGATGATATTCATAATTACTAAATAAATATATTGTTAAAATATATATTTTTGTAATAAAAGATCATTGATTACCCATAAAAATAATTATTTAAAGTGATTAAGTGTAACTTAAATTTATGAACTTTTAAATTTAGAGTTATTTTTCAGGAAGTTGAACCAATGTATAAGGAATCTGATCATATTCATATAATTGCTATGAGTACTGCGTTAAATACTGGAGTACGTGTTCGATACATGGATAGAGGTGCTGGTACTGAAGTAACAGCACATGACTTCCCAGAGGGATCGACACCATCTATTCATTTACTGTATCGACCAGGCCATTATGATATTCTTTATCCTTGATAAATTTTTATGATTTGAAAAGTTAAAATGCTAATTTGTTACTAAGAGTGTAGAATTGAAATCTTCCTTTTAGTAATTTATACATAAACTAAAATTAAAAAATCTGTGAGATCATTTTATATTTGAGATTAAATAATCTTTAAAAATGTCAAAATAAAATTTTTTTTAATAATAGTATAATAAATAGCTGCATCTATTTTATTAATTGTCTAAGATAAAATGTTAAATTTCATTATTAAAGTTAATATTCTTAAAAGATTGTTAGCATTAAGAATTAGTATTATTCAATTATTTTAAAAAAGTGAATTGTCTAATTTGTAAAATATTAAGTTTTTCGCAAATTTTGATCATAATTTATGAAATGAAAATAAACAAATTTCATACAAAATAGTAACTTTTCTTTTTTTAGAATATTTCATTCATTTTTTTATTATGAGCATATTAATTTAAATAAATTAAGTAATTTTTAAGCAATAAATAAATATTTAAAGAAAATTAAATGATGTACATAAATTATATTTGATTTCATTACCTACTAATTTATTTTAAATAAAAATACATCTACTCTCAATATAATTACATTTTATAATTTAAATTTATGTCAATAAATTTATTGTCAGCTAACCTTCTATATTTATATGTATATAAGCATTTGTATATTCGGTTATATTCCAATAATATAAAATCTCAAGTCAATGTTTGAATAAGTTTAGACATGAATGAAATATAATTTTAATTAAATGAGAAAATAATTAATATAAATTTTATTAAATTTGTAATAAGATTTATTAAATATATTTGTATTTAGAGATTGTGTTAAAAGGAAATAATGGTAAAATGTATTTATGTAAGATAATGAACTAATAAACAATAAAATGCTATTTTTAATATTAAATATATTTATATAACAATAATAAATGTAATATATTTGGTGTAATTTTATTTCCAATCCAAGAGATAGTTCAATATACAAATAATAGACATATTTTATAATTCTAGATAACTAAATTAAAACACAGTATTATTGTCATTTTCCGTATTTAAATAAAGTTTAACTAATGAGTGTATAGATTAGAATTTATATAACAATCACGGTACATCATATTACGCTCGAAAATAGCATCTGTTAGAGTAAAACTACTTTGACACAAATTGATCCATGAAAAATATTTTATATTAAATGCTTCTATATTCGCTTCATTAGTAACAAATTGAAAATTCTGTTTCCTTATAGTACAATATTACAAAGTAAGCTCAATTTTTCTTTAATAACAATAATATTATTAATGCCTTATCATCTTTGGTTTGAGTAATTTAAGGTTAATAACATATGTTGTTTCATGCGTATACCGAAAGTAATTTATTTTTCTGATTATTATAATTGATTATTTATTTCTGTTGTTTGCTTGGATTTAAAAATTAAGACAATTATTAAATATAATAAATTTTATTTTATATTAAATACTATTTAATTTTTTAAATACTTGTGTATAGAAATTGATCATAGATGGTAATGTATAGATAATAATAGGAAAATAAAATAATTTTATAATGATATTGAAATTAAATTATTTATTTCAAATAAAATAATGAATTAAAAACAAATTCTTTAAAATTATATGTTATGTTAATATAGCTGCCTTAAAAATAACAAAAAATTTTTAATAATGACATCAGCTTCAAGTACTAGTGCTCGAAACTTATTCATTGACTCTAAGATAAGACTAGCTGATAGAGTACAAGTGAATATTAATAATATTGCATCTTTAACGAGACAAATTCAAAGAGGTTCAAAAAGTAATGAAGTGAGTAATTGTATTAAAAATACTAATCATATCTAATAAGAATAGTTAAAATTTTTAAGCATTAATGATTAATATTAAAATGTTTCACTTAATATAGATTTTGATGAAATCTGCAAAAAAATTTTCTCAACAAGAACAAATTCTTGAAAGTGTAGAAATGAACATGAAAAAATTAACTTTAATTGTAACACATTTAGAATTACAATTAAATATAATCAATCAAAGTGTACTTAAATTGAAAGAAGTTACTGAACAACTACGTACAATGCAACAATAAATATTGTGAGTTATGTGTAAGATATAAAAATTGAAACTATAAAAATCTATTATAATATTTCAATCCATTAATGATTTTAGTTATTAATAGGTTTAATATATATATTATAAATTGAAGTTTACAGTGGATTTATTAAAAAAATATATTTCTATACTTTTATTTTTGTACAATTTTTATAATTAAACAATATTGTTTTAATGTAATAAAAAATATATAAATTACTTCATAAAAATATAAAATCAATAATTGTTCAATATTTAAAAAAACTTACCAATATTTTATTGAAAGTATTATTAAAGATTGAAACTTAAAAATAATTATATATTTTTTAAAATTTTAATGATATTCTACATTCATTATTTTCATACATATAGTTTTATTATATTAGTTATTTTTATTGTTTTGTTTAATAGACATAAAAATTGAATTTATCTGATGTCTAAATTATATATCAGTTTTGAATTAAAAAACTTTGGTTGTTAATTAAATTAAAAAGTAATATTTATATAAAAAATTAAAATATTTTATTTAAAATGGTGATATATATATATATATATATATATATCGCGAAATATAATAGTAATATAATAGCTACAATTGAATACCAATTACTGATACTAATACTCTATTAGATATTAGATACAATCATCAATTGATAAAAAGAAAAATTCATTTTTAAATTTATTTCATAGCAAAAACTGCATTAAATAAAAGTGTACTAATATTATACCATTATAATACAGTAGTATAATAAGAAGTACAATTCCTGATGTAAAAGTAATATTACAGAAATAAGAAAAATAATTACAGTAATAATAATAATAATAACAAATATGTAGAAAATTTATTTATTTATTTAAAATAATTTATATTCATTAAGTGATTTAGTAAGCATAAACACGAATCTTCAAATACACTATATATATATTTATTCAAAAAATCAATTGTTAAATTTTTATGAATGAATGTAGTTTTGCAAAATAGTATTATAAAAAATGTTTGCTGATTCATGTGGCTAATGAATTTAATTAAATATCATTTGTTCAACTGTATACACAACTTATTTATTTATTAGTATAATTAAAAAAATTTCTTATTAAAATAGAATCTTTTTAATTTAATATTCAAAAAATACGTATTAATATTTCATCGCAAAATACATTCTTATTTTATAATAAAAACTAAATAAATATTTTTCATTGCTAAAAATTATTAATTTCATTGAATAATTATCTATTTTTATTATGTATTTCACCCTGCTTCATGTTTATAATATATTAACTTTAGTCAATTGTCATTATACCAATTGTATTTCAGCTTAGAAAAAAAATAAATTAATTGATTTTAATTAATTTTAAACATTCCTAATTTCAATAATTATAAGTTAAATATGATTTTGTATTCAACTTTTGAAATCAGCTATTTGCAAAAGATAAATTCAATGCAAATGAATCCATTATATTAGTAAATATTTTATTCTAATTATACAGAGTTATTAACTGAATTATTACGATCTACATAATATTTTATAATTTAAATGGGTGAAGATTTTATAGGTTGCAATTTATAAAATGAAAACAATTCATATAACCATATTTCATAAATAAAACTGCTTAATCAAATCTGCAAAAAATTCTATTGCAAAGTCTTTATAAAATGTATTTGTAATTTAAAATATAGATAATATATAAAGATTTTAGTGTATAATTGAAATATTTATATGTAGTGTTAAAAGATAAGGTTATTTGTTGGTCTTTTATTCATCTATTTTAATTAAAATATACAATGAGACATCAGAAAATATTACAGGACAAATTGCAAAGTCAATTCGGATATAATGATTATAAAAATTATTTACAGAAAGAAGCAACTGAAGCCGTTTATAAAAGTTAGAATTAATTGATTAGTTTAATTTTCAAATAATTTGAAATTTCGTTTAAATATTTGTAATTATTGGTTATTTATATTTTATAAAAGTTAGTTATAATAACCTCAAAATAATAATCTTGAAGTTAAAAATAAATTAATAATTTTAATTATTAAAAAAATAACTTAAATTAAGAAATTAAGTGTTTTTTTTATAGACGAGAAAGATATTTACATTTGTATGCCAAGTGGTTTTGGAAAATCATTATGTTTTCAATTACCAATAACAATAAAGGATAATTCATTTGCTATTGTTATTTCACCAACAATAGCTTCTGCTACGGTTAATATTCAATTAATATTTATACAATGTAAATGTTATTTAATTTGTTTAGTTTTTATTTCTATTTATTATTTTATTTCTAGCATCAAGTAAATTATCTAAAAAGTAAACAAATTTTGGTTTATAATTGGGATGCTTATACTTCAAAAAAAATAAAATTCAAAATAAAGCAAGAAATGAAATCGAGAAGGCCAAAAATAAAATTATTATATATAACTCCTGAACAGTACATATCATCATCTTTTCAGGTGATGTAGTATTTAACATAAAAAAATTAATTTTTTAATATATTTTTTTTTATATTTTAAAATAAGAAATATAAATTTAATATAAGTTAAACAAATAATAAATCTCAAAGTGAATTAATTTTTACTTATCAAAAATAAATAATTTTAGAATTTATTTTATATAACAAAAGAATTATTATTAAATAAATATAGCAATAGTGACAGTATGTAGTGGTAGTAATAATAATAATAATAATAATAGTAATAATAACAGTAATAAGTGATCAATAAGTAAAAAGATAATAACAGTTTTAGAAATATTAGTTAAGCCCAGTTTAAATAGTAAAAATATTAATCAATTTTAATTATTTAAAAATAACTAAAGTACATTATTGTCTGCTCAAGTATAACTAATGATATAGGATGGCTTATCAATGTCAATATTTAAATATATTTCTGCTTTTTAATAACAATTATAAGTAATAACTTTCGATTCATATTTTTATTATTTTAGATAATACTAAAAAATATACAACCAAATGTATTATCTTACTTTGTTATTGATGAAGTGCATTGTTTAAGTCCATGGAGTCATGATTATAGACATTCTTATAGAAAATTTGTTGAATGGCCACTTAAAAGACCAAATGTACCGATTATAGCTGTTACAGCTTCAGCTACAAAAGAGGTAATAAATAAATAATAAAAATATTATAAAACAATTTTTTTAATGAAAAGAAATAAGTAAAAATAAATAACCTTATAAATATGGGATAGTTTTAATTTTACACAACTTTTATTCAATATTAAAGACAAATAGAAAAAAATTATTTGTCATAAAATATATATAATAAATGTTATATTATAAATGAAAGAAATAAATTATTTTAATGTATATTGTAATTCATTTTAGTCAAGAAATAATATTTTAATTTATAATATTTAAAAAGTAACAAGAATCTATTGTTAGAATAATTCATTTTATTTAACAGACTTAATATTTTTATTAATTATATAACATATATAATAACAAACGTTTTATTTATAAAATATTTTATTCAATAAATAAGAGAATTTAATTTAAAATTCAAATTTAATAATGTAGGTTATAGAAGATATTTTCAAAACATTACAAATGAAAGATCCACTGATTTTTACAATGCCAGTTTTTCGATCAAATTTGTTTCATGATATTTGGTTTATTGATAATCTCCCAGATCCAGTACAACATTTAAAACAATTTATTGTTGAAAGCCTTGGACATGTCGATATGTCTGTACCGAAAGTAAGCATATGTATTTGTATTATATCCATTATATTTAATTTATTTATTGTAGTCATTTCATTATATAATATTGTAACATTTATTCTTGGTGTTAATTGTCTGCAGTAATATAATTTAATATTTAAGTTAAAATAAGTTGTTTTATTATTTTAATTCTTAGGAAAAAAGAAATTCTGGTATTATTTTTTGTCAGAAGAGAGACACAACTATAAACCTTGCTAATATATTAAATTCTATGGGAATTTCAGCAGTAGCTTATGATACTCGTAAGAATGCAATTTTTAAAATATATAACTAAATTAGAAATGAATTATTTATTAATTGTATCAAATTAAACTTATAATTTAATTTTAGGATTTAAAATTCGAACACGTCTTAAAATTCAACATTTATGGAACTCTGGTGCAGTTAGTATTATTATCGCAACTAATAATTTTGGTATAGGAGTTTCCAAGCAAACAGTCAGGTTAAATTTTTTAAATTTTATTTAATAAATATTTATATGCATACATTTTTATTTATATATATTTCCTACTTGGTTGAAATTAAAATTTTTAATCTACGAAAATATTGGATATTTAAGATATTTAAAATAGATTTAGTATTCTTAAACATATCAATTTTATATTATTAACAACTACTATTAAATATTTCAATTTGAGAAAGCATTTCAATTATTATTTACATTTTGTTTTAAATGAAAAACTTTTTGTAGTTTAAACTATTGTAATTACGATTCCTATTTGTATATATGATTTTAGCTTACAAAAAAAAGCATATATACTTTCTTATTTATTAAAATGATTATACATTCTTAACATTAATTTTTTAATCGAAAGCAATTCCCATTTTCATAAATCTTATATAGATTATAAATCGTTAAAATTTTGTTTCAATTTAATTTTTTTTAGATTTACTGTACATTGGTATGCTCTTTCAAGTATTGCAAATTATTATCAAGAATCAGGAAGAGCTGGACATGATGGTAATATGTCCTATTGTAGAATCTATTGTTACTTTAAAGATATCAGAAATTTTAATCAGCAAAACCTATTTATTTCTGAAAATCCAAATCAACAAATTTATTCACAAACTAAAATTATTTTACTAATGGAAATGCTAAAAAGCATAGTGAAAATGGAGTAAATATTATTCATTATTTTAGATGAAATTTTTTATTAATTATTATAATTTTTATACTTATATTATTTTTTTAAATATAACTTTAAATAAATTAAATTTGAAGTTAATTAGTTTAATATAAAATCAACATAATTGATTTTTTACTATTGAATTTATTTTTAAGATGTATGCATGCAGTAATATCTAAATATTTTGGAAATCAAGTACCAATTTGCAAATATCGCTGTAATGTTTGTAAAAATAAAGAAGCTGCTAAAGAAAGTCTACTACAATTAAATTATTTTGATGAAAATAATTTAACTTTTAATGGATCACTTGAAAGTTTCAATCTTAATATATATGACAAATTGTAAGTAATAAAGTCGTATTTATTATTAAAGTATCTAAAATTATAAGTTTCTGTATTTTTTGATAAATTTTTTTAGTGATAATTATCAAGAAATGCTATTAGATAATCAAAGTAGTATGAGTGTAAATGCTGATAATAAGAGTATTTTATTAGAAATTTTTCAGAAATTTGAAACTAGTATTAATGATAATAAAATAAGGTAAGGTAATATTAACTAATATGATAAATTATCAGCATAGTTGCGAATTTCTTGCATTAATTATTTTATAATTGAAACAATCTTTTTTAAAATGTTTAGTAAAGTAACACCCACACATAACCAAAAGATGGATCAATTTATTTATATTAATGAAAATCAAGAGAATAAGGTATTTTATATATTATTATGATATAGTTATTTCATAAAACAGCAATATTTTAATATACTTTATTCATAAAATTTATTCTTGGAATTTGACATGAAATTATGATTTTCTTTATTTAGGATTTAGATTTCATACGTACAGAATCTAATTTACATGGAGAAATTAGAGCAAATGCTGATTTACAAATACAAGAAATATATAAGACATTATATCGAAAAAAAAGCATAAATTCATCATCTCCATGTACATCATTAGTTAGTCGAACTAACTCTAATTTATTTAATGTTTATGAATCAATTAATGTAGAAAATAATACAAAAAATAGTATAAAAAAGTTTAAAAAAAGAGGAAGTGCAAGAGAAAATAAAATTAAATACTTAAAAAATAATAAATGTGATAGAAAATTTTGTTCACATGTGTATTGTCAGATGAGTGCAGAAGAACAATTAAAAGTAATACATAAGATGTTATATAATAAGCAATTGTGATTTTAATTAATTTAACAATCGGAATTATAATTACAAAAATAAAAAGTATGTATAAGAAATATAAAAAAATATGTATATTAATGTATAAGAAAGAAATTATAGAAATGTTAATATTAAGTTTATACATCAAATCATATTTTCATTAATAGAATTAAAATTGGAATGATTGATTGAAATATAGTATTACTACTTTTAAATAAATTATATTGAAGTATATTGCATTATGTTTTTAATCAAATAAAAAAACGTTTGGAACAATTATTAAAATAAAATTCATTATAGAAGTAAATTTAAAAATATTTAGTATTATATATGAGCATATGTATAATAGATTCAATTATATTTATACAAATTATTATAAGAATATTTAAATTGATTATAAAATTTCATTTCGGAGTACGGTAAATTAAAACATTTACAATATCTACTGTAAAATTTGTAGCATAATAATTAAATGTGTAATTTGTTAGTATTTAAATTAAGTAGTACATGAAAAAAATTCAAAAATAAATTCGGCGTAATTACATTATTTATATAAAAAATTAATTTTATAATACTACCTGGGAAATTATTTTAAATAAATAATACCTGTAACATAGGCTATTTCTTTAATATGTTAATCTATACTTAAATGAATTTTAATAGAAAAATACAAATTAGTTTTGAAATTACGAAATCAGTACTAGACATATTATTCTGAATAAAATAAATAAATCATCTATGAAAACAGAAACTTTTGAGGTCATATTTTCCTCAAGTTTATTTAATGTCTATATATATTTCACAGTATATGTTGTACTTGCTCTGTACGTACAATTGTTTCCATTCTTCGTTTTTAAACACACACACCAAAAATACTTGCGCATTCGCATTTACGCATGTACTTAAAAATTAATATACAGATTTTATATTTGAAATGTACATTTTTAATTTTTTTATGGGTGTATGAGAACACTTTTTAACTAAGTTTATCGTCGTTTTACACATACATCAAATTCACATTTTTCGAGTACAGAAGTATATATGCTACAGTATTATTGTGCATAAAAATAATATAAGAATAAAAAATTGTACAAGTCAAATTTATAAAAAAGATGGACAATAAATATAAATATAAAGTGAATATATCACATACGATATTGCACTTTTACATATTAATTCTTCATAATCAATTGTTGAATTATCTGAAATTCTTTGAAAATTATCTGTAATTTATAAAAATATTTTACAAAAAATTATATCACGATAGATATAGGTTCCATTAAAATATTTAATAAATTATCCAAATTCATTTTAAGACCAATCTGCTTATAATTTATTTTAACCACAAGTAATTACTTGATCAGTTAAAAAATTATGAATATAATTATTTATAAATTTTCTATTTTGGTTTTTAAAAATACTCAACATTTAATTTGAAGTTATGGTCTTTCATTTCAAGCAGTTTTATTATGACTATATATGAGGACTACAGTCAATAATCACTAATTATTCATGAAATAAATGCACTTGCCTATGTGTGTACATGTTGTACATTTTGGAATCTCTCATTTATTGGATATTTGTTAGTTATTTGTGTCTAGCTGAGTTAATATTCTCATTGTGATAGATGAGTAATTACTAGAAGACTGATGATTTACTGCTGGTAGCTAATTTTTTCTGTCATTTACAAATTATCTAAAATCATTCAATAATTTATATATTTTCTTTAATTCTAAAAAATAGTTCAATATTAAGTCAATTTTGTAATCAAATATTTATTCCGAATTACCTATTCTTTTTTATAATTTTACAAAAAATATTTAACATACATTAAACTATATATTTAGTAATTACATTATTTATTTTTATCAAATTATAAATACTCAAATATTGTTTTTAAAAAGATTAAAGAAAAATATGTTGATTTTATTTGCAGAAAATATTATTTTGCAATAATAATTTATAATTAGTTTTGAACTAATAAATGTAGAAAGAATTAAGAAAGAATAGATCATTACTTTTCTAGCATATATTTATTATTAAGAATATATCAAGAATAAATAAAAAAATTTATTTAACTATGAAAACTTTGTACTAATGATCCAAATAAAGTAATGATCTATATATATATATTTTATTAAACCAACGTTGAGTATATAATTAAGTTTTTGACAGTTATTTATATTTACATAACAAAATTAGTTAAAGATAAAAGAAAAAATATAACATCAAGTGCTAGATATAGATTTATAAATTAATTAATTTATATATTATTAGAACACATTAATTTATTTAATAATCAGCAAACTTTTTTAAATAAAAACAATGAGTATGTATTATTAATAATATAATGCTTCTGTTAACAATGTCAAAGAAGTTCTTTCTGGAAGAAATAAAAGTGCCAGATCTAAAAATGTTAATGTGTTGCACTTAATGGTATACAAGTAAAATGGTATAAATTAAATATATATATATATATATATAGAGAGAGATAATATTTTAATTTCTAGTTATGCGCTTATCATAAAAATCTTGTTTAAAATACTTTATTGAATTATGTTGGATACTATGAATAATCTATTCGAAAAATATTAATACATAATTAAAATTAAATGGTAGTATAAAACATTAATAATTAATTTTAAGAAGTATTTTTATTATTAACATAGAAATGAGTTTATTGAAATAATTAGCTTACTACTTACAACCAGTACAAAAGTGAAAAAATGTATTGGAAATTATTGAGTACAAATTAAATCCACATGTATATTTATTATAAAAGGAAACAAAATACCAAAGGTTCAATTATTATATAAATTATTTTCTTTTTAATTATTCAAATTTTATGAAAAATCATTTAGAAAAATATTTATCATCCTACTTATTTAATATTTTAAAATGACTTATTTCTAATACATTACCTAAGTAAATATTTACAATACAAATTCATTGAACAATTTACTATACATATAATATATAATCGATGTTTCAATAATAATAATACTTCTAAATAGTTAATTACTTAAATTTACATATTTAAATTTTACATATGTGTATACACACCATTTGAAGAAATCAAAACCTTAAATTAAAATTTTAGTTCAAGATAATAAGCAACTAGGTTTTTCTTGTACATTTCCATCAGCCTTTTCAATTTCAACCAATAAAGTATGAAAAATATCGGCAACTGACTAAAACATTAACATTTTTATTATTATTTATAATCATTAAATTTAAAATAATAAAGAAATTTTTATAATATACCTCATTTTGTTTTGCACTTGTTTCTAAGAAAGCTGCGTGCCATGAATCTGCTAACCGTTTTCCTTGTTCTGCAGTAATCATTCGATCTACATATAAGTCAGTTTTATTTCCAACTAAAACGATTGGTACGCTGTGGAATACAAAAATGATTGTAATAATTATGTTCTATTATAAAAAATAATTTTTAAATTTGTATATAAAAATTCATAAAAATAACTTGACTTAAAATTTAAGTTTGTAATAAAATAAAAAACAGTAGAATTTTATTGTCTTATTTAAGACTATAATGTACATACTGAACTTTTCCTGTGATATCGAGAAGTTTATCATATATAACTTGTACAACTTCAAAGCTTTTTGCACTAGTTATACTATATACCAAAACATATCCATGAATATCCATTGAGTACTGTGTTGGAAAAATGCTATATTCATCTTGACCTGCTGTGTCAACTAATTTGACTTCATAATCTTGAGAATTCACTCGAGTACTTTTTGTAAATGCTTCAACAGGAATATTAAAATATTAATTTTAATATATAAGTGACTTTATTTATTTAAAAAAATTATAGAAAATTAAGCATCAAAAATATATTCAATATCTTATATTCTAGTAAACTATTAAATTACTATTACTTCAGTTACATAATCAAATTTAAATTTGATAACAAAATTTAATAATGAATATAAATTTATTATTTATGTTAAAATTGATAAACGTTAATAAAGTAATATTATAAATTATTAAAAACCAAAATATGCAACTTTTTTTACTTATGCCTGAATTAACAAAAATAAAATCAACTTTTTTTTGTTAAGAATAAAAGAAAGATATTGAAATCCATATATACGTATATATATAGTTTTTAAAAAATATTTCTATACATAGTTTTTGTAAAAAGATCATTTAATATTACATTATAATTTTTTTAAACATTTAAGAAAATAGTTTTAAATAACATTTAAAATTTATATTTTAAGAAATTTATTTAACTTACTATTTTCTATAGTAGGATCGTATGAATCAACAAACTGCCCTTCAACAAACTGTATGCTCAATGAAGATTTTCCTAAAAGTAAAGATTATTGATAGTTTAATGTACGTTTTCAAATTGTTGGAAAAAAAAGAACTATATAGTTTTATTAACTTACCAACAGAGCGATAGCCCATGATCGCTATTTTTCTCTGTTTAGGCGGCATGTTGCTAAGCGATTAGGATAATTGTTAAGTTGAAATTGAATTAATAATTATAAATTAAAACAGAACATCAGCTAAATATGCTAGATTGAAAAATTTCTCCCACAATTCTCTACCATTTTGAGATTTTAACATGAAAAATTTTTTCCATTGTGCTGACAGTAATGAATCTACTAACGATAAAAATTTATAATTGTAATAGAAAAATTATTCGATACGTTAGAATAAAAAAATTACGTATACCATCGTGTACTCACACGCAAGTGCATTTATAACCTACAAATTTAATCCATGCATTATCTTCTTAATACTAAATAATAAGCAATATTTACATATGTAAGATATAATACATTTGAGGATAAAAATATTAAAAATTAGCTTTTTATTCATAAGAAATATGTGAACAAGCAAAATAGGCACATTTCAAAGTATAATTTATAAAAGATGAATTATATGCACTAACTACAGCGCATGTATAGACATATGATGCACATATCACGTATGTGTACGTTGTATTTGTATATTGAAAAAGCATGTTCTTTATAGGTATCATACAATGCAGAACATATTAATGTAATAGATATGAAAGAGATATAATACAAGCATGCACGCCCAATAATACGACAGAAAAAATATTAATAATTACCTTTAACTATTTCGCTATAACGAATAAGCAAATTAATTAGTTATTTACTACAATATAAACATTACAGTTAGTTCTACACGATTTTGTTGTAGTTTATTATCCGTTACATATAATAAAAAAAAATTCAATGATGGACACACAAAAAAGATAATACAATATTTATGCAGCCTCTATAATAATATACTCGAAGCCAGACGAGAAAAATTGTGTATAATGCTGAAGAAAGATGGAAAACATAAACACATTAGTAAAACGCTTGTCGTACGAGTGCGCTGACCATCGTCAGATGCCTTAACTAATCAATTAATATCGTAGCACTGACACTGAACCGTAAATAAAAGACGAGTCTGGATTGTGCTGAATTTTTTCACGTAGAAAGACAATTTACTATTACTATTTCGACTTAAAATCATCTAGAAATAAAGAAATACGACTATAATTGTATAATACAATTAAGTATATTTATTGTACTAACTATTCTAGATAATCATTTTTCTTTATCTTTTAATTTCATATTTTAAATTTAGCGTAATTACTGAATTAACACATTTTGCATCTTTTTAAACAATTTGTTTATTTTACATCCAAATACATATTTAGTTTTTTATTACTTAAAGTAAAATAAAATTTATTTCAAATTATTATGATTTCTAAAAGTATAGTGATTGCTTTTATTGATATACTTAATATTTATGTATATTCATAATGCAAAAATATTTCCAAATTGTTGTAATTTAATCAGTTTTAAATAAATTAATAAATTATGATAGGTAGTTAAGTCTTTTTATTAATTATGGTTTTTTGAAATTATAAATGTTTAAGTTTTTTATAAACGTAAAGTGTCTTAAACATCAGATTTTTATTTAAAGGAAAACAATTAGTTATACTACATACATTGTATACAATTTTTTATTTTCTTAAATGTATAGAAGTAAAAGGTAGTGAAATAAAATATCTAAGAAAAATGATTTTTGATTACTTTTGTATGTACTTCTCAAATCCTTTTTAACTTAAAAACATGAAAAATTGATTTCATTAAATATGCATTAGTTATTAATAAAATATATTGATTGTTAAATACATGTTAAAATAAATGTAAGTTCATTTTCATACTAAATATTAAAATTTATATGTCTAATACATATTAAATATGTACTTATAAAACTTTTTACAATATCTCTTAATATATTTGAATTTTAAAAATTATCAATATTATATTAATATTATTTTTATATTTTTAATAATTAGTTTTCTTTTAATCAAATATTTATTTAATTGCAATATTCTACATTTTATATATTTAATTTAATATTTACCATGTTATAATTTTTAGATATAAAAATTTCATTTATAATATTAAATAAGCGATTATTTCATTATTAATAAAAATGGTTTATTATAATGAATACAAAATTATTTTTATAATTAATAATATGAAAGTGTTATATATATATTACAAATGTTTAAAGTAAATAATCATCATTGATATATTGTGTTTGTGTATAGGTCGAGTATTATATGATGCAAGTAACTCATTTGTTTGTAAAAAACGACTGATTTGTAAAAGTCTTCTTAGATTATGTATACAATTTTATATTACTACAAATTATCACAATAACAGAAAATGTTAGAAAAATGCCTAGTTGGCCCAGTTTTCATACAAAGTATTTAAAATTTTACCTAAATGATAAATTTTTTATACAATACAAAAGTCGAAATATAATTATTATAAACTAAAGTTATACAAATTAGTTTTATTTTAAATGATTTGTTATCATTAATTATTAATTTTTAACAAAGTTAATCTATTAGTATTAATTACACTCATGTTAATGAAATGACTGCTTAATGGAAGATTTTATGACAAATATTTTATCACACTGTTATGACACCAACACCAACTCCTCCTTCATGTGCATACATAGATGTAGCAAAAGACCAACAATTCGTTTCAGGGTCGTACATTTCAAGTGTTGAGAGATTAGAAATTCCATCATACCCTCCAATTGCCCAAAGTTTTCCTAGATTTGCAACTAATGCTACTCGACTTCTCATAACATTCATACCTGCTATATAATTCCACCTATACAAGTTGAATCATGTTCACTGGTCTAAAATTAAAAATTTTTTTTGTTATTTATTTATAATCTACATACCTATTAGTTTTAGGATCATAAACTTCAACAGTTTGCAAAAATGTAGAACCATCGTATCCTCCACATACATATAATTTTCCACGTAAAGTAGCTACTCCCAATCGACATCTTTTTGTCAACATTGGTTGCACAAGTGTCCATATATTACTTTCTGGATCATATCGTTCAACCTAGTACATAATAATTTAATACAAAGTACATTTTAATGATTGTTTTAAAAATCATAATTATTTTACATACTGAATTATGTATTGATAATCCATCATGACCACCCAATGCATAAATATATCCTTGAAAAGCAACAACTCCACCAGCAGATCGATACCTATTCATAGGAAGTACTATTTCCCATATATTAGTGTTAGGACAAAATCTTTCAACTAGATTTAATGATTCTGAACCATCAAAGCCACCACATACATATATGTAGCTATTTAAAGTCGCTGCTCCAACAGCACTTAATATTTTCATATTAATTTATACATTATACAATACAATTATTGTAAAAATATTAATTAAATGCAATACCTTCGTTTATATTCCATTGGAGTTATTAGTTTCCAACTATTTAGACAAACATCATAAACTTCAACAGTTGCTAATCGTTCAAAACCATTATAACCTCCAAAGGCATACAATTTATTTTTATACACTGCTACACCAACTCGACTCCTAAGTGTTATCATAGATTCTGATGGTTTCCACATTCCTTAATAATTTAATATTGTTATAAGATAATAAAAACATTATTATAAGTTAAGTTCAATTTCACGTACCAGTGAATGGGTTGTAAACTTCAACTGTATTTAGCGAGTCTCCAAATTTTGTTAGACCACCAATAACATAAATATGCCCTGTCACAAAATTACACCGTGGTCGAATTTTAAAATTATCAATCAAATATCGCCTATCAGGTATAAGGTGATAATCTTTTGCTTCATCTAATATATCTCTAAAATTTAAATGTGAAATTAAAATCTTTACATATGATCTAAATTAATTTTGATATATTGGTTTGTCTGTATAGAATATTATTTAAAGCTATCCATATTTATATTTACATGCATACAGAGAAAATATATTGTATTCACCAATCATGATACTAAAAAAATACAATGAATTAAAATAGCATACAAAATATTTACATATTTAGATTGTAGTAATGAGAGGGCAAACATGACATGAATATTACCTGCAATGTATACAACTTTTGATTAGTTTCTCTTTAGCCACATGATCCACAAGATATTCAGGATCTAGAAGCGGTAATCTTACAAGTGCCAGCAATTCTGATAATTTGTCTTTTCTCCCTTTAATGTCATATTTGAGCCATGAAATAATAGTTTCGAAAACTTCTTTTTCAGAATTAATATTCAAGTCATCGTTGCTAATAAAGCTTTTTAAATCATCTAAGGACAGATTAAAAAATTCTTTGGACTGTGAGACATCTATGTAGTAATGGTTGATGTATTTGTTACATTGATTAAATAGAGATGTGCAGCCAAGAATATCAGCAAAATTACGGATACCAAGAACATTATCTGGATTTAAATGAGATTTAAGGAAGAGAGCACAAGCAGTTTTAACGTATTGTAATCCCAGGAATGAAGCTCCAATCATAATACTTTGAACATTCTCATTTGTAATACGTATTCGTCCAGTATATGCATAGTTTATAAATGCCTCTAAAACCCTGTATTGTATGTTTTCAAGATGTCATTACCATAATTTATTTACTAAAATATTAGGAACAGATTTATCATAAATAATTGTAAAGTAGCTACTTGGTGGTCTGGTTTTTTAAATTTATAATTTATTATTTATGAATTATGTTAATATAATTTTCAAATTACATTTTTTGTTTAAATGTTTTTTGTTTTCAATTTTTTGATGTAATACTTTTATTAAAGGTATTTTTATCTTTCTTTCATATTTGTCCAGATATATTTAATGAAAAAATCTACTACAATAATTCTAATATAAATTATTTTTGTAGTCAATAGTAAATTAAAATAAGTTACTTGTAATGAATGTGTTACTGAAATATTTGAATATTAAGAAAATCAATACAATTTTTAAAAAAATATTGAAGTATATAAATTTTAGTCATTATAAATATACTTTTAATCAGTATCTAACAGTGCAGTTTGTCTATATTTCATTCTAATTACATATTTAGAATTTAAAAAGATTAAGTAATATTAATAATTTATAAAAACAAACCATAATTAAACTTTAAATATTTAAACTATTGAAAATGATATTCATGTATAAGAATCCTTGATATAATTTTATATTTAATTTTCTTACATAGAGTCAAAACCTTGTAGAGTAATATTTTTTTGTCTACTTTCTATCATATCATTTGTAAACATAGCATTGAAGTATGGTATTGTTGCTGCAAGAACTAGTCGATGTGCACTGAAGCACTGATCATCAACCTATAAATTAATGTCAATCATCAATAAAAAAGAAAATTCTAATAGCTTGTAGCAAAACATGCACCTTGATTTTTATTCTTGTATTATACCTTGTTTTTATATCTTATTATTACACTTTATATATAATAAATAATATAATATAAAGAATATTTATATGTAGAATTTTTGAAACGTAAACATTTCTTTATTTTATATTATTTAATATATTTAAATTATATTAAAATATAAAAATAAGTACACTAATGAAAAGGAGTGTATAACAAACTATTTAAATGACATCATTTATATGTAAAATTACATATATGTATAGATTTGAAAATTTATCTATATACCAAAGATAATAAGAATAAGTTAATGAATTTTTAAACATTTATAACAATATTTATTCATTAGAACTTTTTGCTTTTTATACAAATATTACAATTTTTTTACATCTTTATTCTTACTCGTAATTTTTGTAATTTTTCAATTATAAATACATATATCATTAGAAAAAATAATATTATATTTTTACACAAATATATTACAGAAAAAATTCAAAAATGATATGTAATAAAAAAATAAATATTTTGTAGTGTTCACAGAATTGTAACAAGGATGAAGCGCGAGATAAAGCAAATGTGAGAGAGAGGAGGAATAAACTAGTTATTAATTTGTAGGTTATTGTTCACCTTCAACGTAACATCGCAGAATTTGCCTTGTCTCCTGATATGTTCAAAAGTTGGAAAGCTTTCTTTAAAATGTTCAGTATTCTGGTAAAAAATTTCTTTGTCAGCCAGTCTGAAATCAGCAATGCAATTGGAGGACAATGCCGAATCCACCGAAACCTTACACAACGCATGCCCATCGCAATATTGTTCTTCTTTCAATGGCACAATCTCCATTTTAGTGAAGCGCTGCATTGATGACGAGAGCAATAAGTCATAGTCAATCACGATTTTGTTGCTGTTATTATTTACCGTAATAGCGCTTGGATCGTTGCAAAAATACTGACCAAAAGCAGCGCTCCCGTTGTATTTACTGCCACTGTTACCACTACCGGTATTATTAAAAACAAACTAAAAAGTTTGTGTGCAATGTTTTGTTAAACAAAACAAAATATTTTGTTAAACAAAACAAAATATTTTGTTAAACAAAATGAATCTTTTGTTTAATTATACTCAAGAAAGCTTTTTATAAGATGAACTTTTAAAGAATTAAAATTTTTAAATAATTACAATTAACTTTATTATTATCATATAGGATTATTTTAATTTAAAGATAAATTAGTATTGTTATGGTTAGTATCAATATATAATTCATTAATAATAATTGAAACAATCGTTTATAAAATATTTTTTAAACGTTATGACGGAAAGTATATTTTTTATTATTATATGAATTCTATAATTGTTTTACTTTTAATACAAAAGTAATTTGAACATTATTATTATCAAAATAATTGAAATGTATCATGAGATTGCTTAAATTTTACGAAAAATGTGCATGCATTTCATAAATTACATACAAGTTATTGCATATATGCATATTTTCTCTCTACTAATTCTCTTCCTCCATCTTCTTTTCATTGTGCACTCTTTCTCTTTTACCTTTTAATTTTTTTCTTCTTTTTCCCCTATGCTTCATTTTCATTTTTCTCTAACTCTTATATTTATTCGACTCTTTAAAAATTCACTTGTTTCTATCATATTACTGGCTCATTTGTTTCTTCACTTTGTATTAAAATCCATTAGAAAATCAGGAGAAAATTTGAAAACAAGAAATGTGTATTAATCAACACCAATATACGAAAAGGTATGATCGCACAAATAGATGATATTTAAGTTTAACGTAATTAAATATTGGTAAGCTGTAAGAATATTACAAACCTTTCGTTTTAAATCTATTATTTTTATCTATAATTCTTTTTTTTTAATTCATTGTAAATAGAAAATGTATATTGAATGTAACAAAGATTTAATATATTCTTTATTTTTAATAAATGACGGGATATAAAACTAATTACATATAATTAATATTACTATTAATTAATATTAGTTTTTAACAATAAACATTGAAAAACAATGTAATACGAATTATGTTAACTACTTAAACTGTATATAAAAATTCATGCTTTTTCGTCATAAATTATTATATAAGTTGTTAAACTATCAACATTAATTTAAAAAATGATTTCAGTCATATTTATTCAGCCATTTTAATATGTTTTTCATTAATTTAAAAAATTATAAGCTATTTAAAGATTAATATTAAGAAACATAATTGACATATCTATAATATAAAGTTGTATTATCACTTAAGATATGACCTTAATATACCTGTAAAGTTAAATTGAGATAAAATTGTATTTATATGTAAAGTATATACATTTGCCTATTTTTAATATTCGTATATGTTTGATAAAAATCTCTATTTCGGCTATGTCACTTCCATTATGTTTTTATATAGTTTTTTCACAATGTATGTAAGATTGTGAAAAAATAAACTTGCAACTTTTAATTATATTTTGTAAATATCTTTAGAGTACAATGTGACTTTGTAAGTTGTTTGGTGCATGAATAGTGCATGTAGTTCAGTACTACATTTTCGCAAATACTTATCGATACACAGTAAAAATAATATCTTTATATATAATATACTCTTTTGAAAAGGTTTTTTTGTTATCAATATTGTAAAGCGGCGAGATCTGATATTTAATATTTCTATATACATTTTATATCCCATTAAGATTTTCTTGTAAAATTTAAATAGTAGGCAGTTCAATCAAATTAAAATTTTAAGAAAGCTAATGTTTTGTATAAAAACAATACAGAGAGTAAGATGAAACAAAAATTCAACAAAATAATGAATTATAATTTGTATTTTTATAATATTAATGTATAATAAATGTAGTGTAAATTTAATGAAATATAAGGTCATACAAATAATTTAAAGAATTAAATATGTTTTTATGATATTTTATTTTAGAATGTATTTTATGCTTTATAATTTGATAATCATAAAAAAATCATTTAGATAAATTCATAGAGATAAATTCTTTTATCCGAAATAATTTGTTAACCTTATTTTAATGGGAGCCTTTATATATCCAATTTCAATTTTATGCAATTATTCTAATTCAACGTTTTATAAAACAAATAATTAAAAATTTTTGTTGCTACTATATTTTGTATATTATTCCATGTATACACAGGCATATATCATATTTATAAAATAATAAATATATTAATATTATAGTAATATATGCAAAGAATAGTTAAAATTTATTTTACATTGAATCACAATTTGAGATCGTGAAAAACAGATTGAAAAAATCTGTTTCAAGGAAAGAATTTAAAGTTTGAAAAATCAATATGTTTACTCATTATAAGCGTGTACCTTTTGATTTTTTACAATTGCTTCGAAATTTTTTAACCATATATATCTCTGTTAAGATTTTCTTCTTCGCATTTGTTCTTTATTAATATATTAAAATGTGCCGGAAGTTTTTTATAAGTACTTCTGAGCAGACGCTCTGTCTATTTTATGTAACATTCTAATATTTAAAAAATAATAAAATAATGGCATTCGTTGAAAAAATATTTATTTTGTTTATTCAATTTTTTCTTTTTACTGAATTTATGATTTTATATAACTTACAATATACACAGTTAAATACAATTTTCACTATCCCATATTATTAAAATTTAAAGATTAGCATTCGAGTTATATTGAATTTATATAAAATTTATACAGCTAACTATCTAAAAAATATATTATCACAATAAATGATATAATTGATTATTTTAAATATTGGCATTCAATTTGATAATGTACAATTAGCATCTAAATTGAAAAATAAAATTTTCCTAACTTTCTGAAATTTTTAATTATAAGATAAAATATTAATTATATAAGTTTCTCAATAGATTTTTGATACGGTTGATTCTGAATACAAAAGATGAATAATTGTTATAAGAATTATGATTATCTTTAAAAATTCAGCTTAAAAAAGAGAACATGCGCGAATAGTTAATAAAAATTTATGTTAAAATACAAATTTAATCAAAAAATAAAAAAACTAGAGCCTAAAAATATATGCGTATAAATAGGCTTTCAAGAGGTTAGCTGTTACAAAATATAATTTTTTTTATCATATCAATAACTAATAAGGTAATTTAAAGAAATATATTATATATTTTTAATGTTACAAACAATTCAATTGTAGAATATGATTGTATTAATAAAATAATTGATATTTAGAAATGTGTGGTGATTTGAATATATTTAAACATTTTTATCGGACTCCATTAAGTATATATTATAACAATTGTGATGAAATACTTATAAAAAGAAAAGAAAAATATTGATTGCTTTTATTAATTTTATCATAAAACTGTCATGACAATTTTTATATTTTATTGTCACTGTAATATTTTTATTATTTTATTATTGATAAAATATAAATTTATTTTAACAAAAACAATTCTTACAAATTTTATATTATTATTAGAAATAATTTGTAAATAAATTTAACTTATTAAGAAATCAACATTTATTGACATCATTTAAAATAATTTAAAATTTTTATGAAATTCGGATATACGATAAATTATAAATTTTGAAAATTTGAAATTCACAGTAACATTACATTCGTATTTGATATTTTGGAATAGTTAATATTCGTTACTAGGTATGCATTATTTTTGAATTATTACTATAATTCAATAAAAGATTTTTATGATATTTATTATTAAAAAACTGTTTAAAATAACTATGTATTAATCGTAAAAATAAGTCAAGAAATACTTTATCATATATTATTAAAATAAAATCATCACTCTATCATTTTTAATTATTTAGCAATGAATATATGAATTTTTATTGAAAATTATTAGATACATTAAATTATAATTTAGTGTTGCTACGTATAAATTTGAAAAATTGTAAAAACTGTTACCATGTTTGCGCATGCGTTCTCAACATTTTCAATTATATATATATATATATATACACAAAATGTTTATCAATATTCATAACGTTAAGTAACTCACATACTGTTTAAGGAGGAGAAAATATTTGATACAAGTGAACAAAATTAATTTTTAATTGAAGCAAGTGTTACGGTTATTCTATCCCTTGTTCTTTCTCTCATTTTAATTTGTTTTTTAAAATTTTGTTATCGTTAACTGGGTTATCGTTAAAGGGATGAGGACAGGCTTAGATTTACAAATTTGGAAATCAGATACTAAACTATTAAGTTAAGGATGATACATCGTGTCTGTATACAAAAGATTTTTATAGGAAATCTTATATATTGTTTGAACAGTAAACATTTTTTGTTTACGTTATTAGCATATCATAAATTAACATTATAAATGTATTTGATTTAGTTTACATAGTTGATATAAAAACTCATGAAACAAATTTGTTTAAATTCAATTAAATTAAATTTTATATTATAAAGTAAATTATTTCATAGTTAAGTTTATAGTTAATTTTAAATTGAAATACAAAGTTTAATATGTTTAACTTATTAAATAATCAAAATATCTTTAAGAAAGTTTGGTTATAATAGTACTAACGAAACTTTGTAACAAAGGAATTAGTGAATTAACCTCAAAAAGAATTTACCTTCCAGAAATTTACTGAAGTTGTTGCAAGTATGATTTTATTAAAAATTTTTATCACTATAAAATATTTTTAATTCAAGTTTTTTTTTGATAAAATTAACAAATTAAATATTTTTTCTATGAATCTAAACAAGAAAATATGTTTTTAATTTATTAGTTATAATTTATTAATATTATTAATAATAAGTCTTATTGTAGATAAAAAATATAAATTAAATAGCTCTATATGGTTTAGTGAACTTTTTCTATTTCATTGCTTATTTTTAGATAATCCGTTTTTATTTATAATAATTAAAAATTATACTTGGATTAAATAAAAATATAATTAATATGTTAATTAAATAATTTTTTAACAATGATTTTTTAAACTTAAATAAATTATAGTTTTGTTCAATTATAATTTTAATATCTTAATTAAAATTTATTTTCTTTATTTAGAATGACTGAAAGTACAAAAAGAGATAAAACAAGGTTTCATTCAAGTCATGGTGAAAATATTGTTCTTTATGATGGTAATACAGTAGCATATCGCAAAGCAAGTTTTGCAAAAGCTCTAGTATTTAGTGAAGAACCATTACAATTAGGTGAAATATTTTTATTAGAAATTGAGAAAGATGAAAGAGGTTGGAGTGGACATATGCGAATTGGACTGACTCAAATGGATCCTATTACCATTGATATGGCAAAGTTGCTTGATTATGATGTTGCTTTACCAAATTTATTAAAGACAGGTTCAAGTTGGGTTTTTGCAATGACTGAAAGTTCTAATATATGGGATGGTTTTGAACAAATTCTAGGAACAGGTTATGGTAAGAATTCAATGTTACAAATTATAATTCATCATGGAAAAAAAAATTATATTTATTTAATATTTATATTTTTCTTATTTAGGCGATGGTATACCAGCAAGAGAAAAAAGATTAATGACTGATGGTAATAATGTTCACACTTCTAGAGGAATTATACCATATAGTATTTTAAGGCCAAATATTGTTGGATCTTCTCACAATATATTACCAACAGATACTGGAAGCAGAATAGGTGTAATGTATGTACCACAGGCTGGTTCAGACAAAGCTGAAATGCATTTTATTATAAATGGTGAAGATCAAGGTGTATTTGGTAGAGATATTCCATACAAAGCAGGACCTTTGCATGTTGTTGTTGATGTTTATGGTACAACAAAGCAAGTTAGAATAATACAATTGTACGGAGGTATGTTAGAATATATGTTTAAAAATATTAAAAATTTCATATTAATATTTTCTTTATTATCTTAAACTAATCTTGATTGGAAATAAATGCTTACTTAAGTAATCTATTTTTATAATTATATAATATTCACTTAAAATTTGTAATGCTATTTCTATTTAATCTGTTAAATGACTAAATAGAGTTCATATTATATTAAAACACAAATAATCTAAATATAAAAAGAAATTAAAAAGAATATATTTAATAAAAAATGTATTTTACAATTTTCATACAAATTTATATAATTTATAAGTGATACTATTGAAATATAATATATAATCTATAGGAGTAAATAAATATAAAAAATATTTTTTATAATATTAAAAATATTATAAATAAACTTTTTTATTGAAAATTTATAACAAAAATTTTTAATTTTTATATAGCTTCATTAACTCTACAAAGTGCTTGTAGAGATACTATTCTACAATATACAAAGAAGACTGGTGTTGAATCACTTCCTCTCCCAAAAATGTTAAAAAAATATCTACTATATCAGTCGCAATAATTATTTTCAAATCAACATTCTTTTTAAACTTTTTAAATTATACTGTATTTATATTATTATTTATACCTTTTAATATTGTAACTATTATTAGCTTTATTTTATTCAAAAGAAAATTCATTAAGCAGCTTTTGTATTTGTTATAGTTAATGAGATATATTTGTATATTTTTTAAAGCACTTGTATTTCATTAATTTAATATAATTAAGAATATAAATTTCTATTTTGTTTAAAAACACGTTTTTAATATTTTATAATTGAATGAAATTTTCATATTAATTATACAAAATTTTGATCAGTAAATTAAATTTTGTAATTATATATTAAAGTATTTCTGAAATTGATATTTAATATTTGTATATAATGGGACAATTAATGATTGATAAAAGTAATCTTTATTGTAATGAGTTTGTAGTATATTTTGCTTTTATTTTTATTTAAATATTTAATGTTTGTACATTCAAAATAATCGTTTCAATGGAAAGCGTTAATTTAGTATATGTAATATTTTATATTATCTATTTTTGTATTCTCATAATTCTTAAATTGTACTTTTTATATAAAATATTTATTTTAAGCATTTGAAGATAATTCAAATACATTTCCTTATATTTCTTTTATAAATAAATTTTTTATAGAATATTTATAAAATTTATTTAGAATATTATATTCTATAAAATTTCAAAAAAAGTCATTCAGTTATATATTGTAATATGTTTAAGAAAGCTTGTGATAATAAAGAATTGTAAAAATATGTACTATTTTAATCATAATTATAGATTTATATTTAATTAATAATTATTGTTGTATAAATCCTTTTATTTAATAAAATCGTTTATTTATGAGTATATATAAGTATTTATTAAATAATCAAATGTAATTTTTAAATTCTACTTATGTGTCAGTTTATTTTTATCTATTATGTTGTAGAATTTATTGTATTATTTATGATTACACATTAATAATAGATTTATAGATGTATAATTGCATATAATTAAATAAACTGATTTATTATTTTATATACTAAATGTATTTATAAAGTTTGAAATAATCTTTTTTAAATTACTTTAAGTTACTACATTTTAAGTATACCATTTTAAATATTTTTTAATATTTGTTTTTAATACGTAATGATTTAAATTAATATTAGAATTCCAACTTTAAATCTTCTCAAAATTAATATTTTTATATATTATTTAAAATAGATTTATGTATAATATATTTGTAAATATATTTTTTGTATATCTAACATATTCAGAATGTACACAAATACATAGTTTTTTTTTACAAATTTTTAAATTTTGTTATTTGTTGTGAATAAATTTGAAATTTCTATTTGGTGAACCATTGATATATCATTTCATTTACTCAATATATTAAATAAACAATAACGTATTGATGGGTCCTGTTAGTTGAAACATTTATTATTTATAAATTTATTATTAAAGCGTTGTAGTGAAATGATGAAACGATAGATTAAAAAAAAAATATGATTAAAAAAAATATTGAAAAATATATATAATTCAAGTCATTGAATGAATATTAAAAACAATGTTATTTCTAATTAAAACTATAAAAATTACGTCATTTTTATGTTATTGTTTAATAAGTTTAAAAAAAAGAAGTTTAATTCTTTTGCATGTTTATTCAATTTATGTTTATAAATCCTATCAATAATTATTTAAATGTATATATTAGTCTAAGTTATAGAAGTAATTCTAGTTGGTAAAAGAATTACAAGCATTATTATATACGTAAATAATACGGAAATGAAAGTTAACCAGCCAAGTAGCAGAATTACGTAACTCCAAGTTAAGTTTTTCTTTGCGTGCATTAGATCAGTGCGATCATCAGCTGACGTTTCTAAGAAGGCTGACGCTTTTGGATCAAGAATACTCAGTAGGAGAACTTGACCAAATTTACTCTGCAGGATTAATGATGTTGTACAAGTAAGCCATTGCGGGGCTAAAATTGATGAATTTTGTACTTCCCGCAGTAGAGCAGTTATTATTAAAGTCCCGGCCATCAATAAAAATGAGTTTTCGTAAAATTGCACTGTAACAGATACATAAAGGCAAATATGATATAGAACTAAAATTAGTTTAAAAAATATTTATTTGGTTAATATCGGAATTACTCAAAAAATTAATTCATTGGAATAAAACCAAGATATATTATAATTACTTGATTGTGCCAAAATAAAATATAAATTTTTAGTGATATCTTTTTTAAATATATTATTATTTATACATTTTTTATGGAGAAATGGCAATTTTTACAAATTTTTCTCAAACTTTCTCAGTATGGTATATATCTTAAATATTTTTTAATTGTTTAATGAAGTTTTGTTTTATAGTACTATTTATCGAGAAATTTGATTGCACATTGAAACTCACGAACTTCGATTTGAAAACTTGATTTAAATTCTGATCTTTGTAATTTTTATTTAAATATTTTTCTCAAATTGTATTGAAAATAGCTGGTGCTACATGTAATGAGATTATTTGTATACATTTGAGTGGTCTATAATGATTTCTTTGCCTACAATGTATTTCCATTATGCATTCGTGTGACTTTTTCAACCAACAACATCATACATATTTTAATTTGAAGGCAAAACTTCGCATATCAAAACTTTATTATAATGCATTATTTTATTGTTATTTTTATTTGTCGAAACTATTTTTTTTAATAACATTGTAATGGTTTGTATTATTTTATTCATAATTTTTTTCGTGTTTACTATAATACACATTTTTCAATTAATGCATTTTGTAAGTGCTATTATACAAGCTCATTTATAATCAATTTAATATAATTTGAAGTACCTTAACATATTTTTTATATTTATTAATTAATGTTCTACTATTAAACTCATTTCCATAAAATTTTTAAAATTTTGAATAAATAATTCAGAGCAGTTAAATTTGTATGAAAATATTTAAATATATACTAAGGAAATTTTTTTAATTTTGTTTAAGTTAATTTTATTAATTATATTTTTATATTTATGCAAATTAATAAATAAAAACTTACGAATATTTGGTAAAGCAGCGCCGTTATGAGGAATAATTGCATATAAATCTTGTATACAAATTAAATGGCAAATAAAACTAATGTAAGCCACTATCATGCGTTCAGTTGAATGACAATCTAACCATAATACAGATAATGTCATTACCATTAAAACTGTAAAAAGAGCATAATTATGAAATAGAGTTTGAATAAATTTTACTATAAACGTTTAAACGTACTTATAGCTGGAACTATATAAACTATATGTATACCAGCACCCCGCCTTTGTAATATAAACTGGATAATATATATAAGCGAAGTATGAGAATTATTCATTTTGAAATCTTGAATCTTGTATATAATACTAGATTTTAAAATTTTCCATTCGTTGTTTGGTGTAAAGTCTGTCATCACAATCTGTAAAATATAAAATTTTATTACAAACTACTCATTATAAAATATTTATTATATACTTATAAATAGAAATACTAATTTAAATGGCTGTTATTTTTAGACTAAAAAAAATGACAAATTAAAATTTAATTAAATTTTACGAATTTATATTTTGATAGGTATTTGCATCATAATATTTCAGTTATTTTTACAATATTCTTATTTTGATTATTATATACAAATTATTCAATACCCCATGAGATAATAGTAGCAAAATTTCATCAGAACTATAAGACCAAGATGCCAATTCTATCGTACAATTTTGAATGTCGTAGGGATAATGAGTATAATCAGTATCACAGTGCGCTGTATATTTTATAGCTGGTATACATAATATTCCACCATTGCTGTTTAGACCGCAAGTAGTCTCTGGAATACTTTTTGCATTATCATTCGCATCACCTCTGTCGAATTAATGAATATAAGAATTAAAATTTTACTATTTTTGAGAAAATAAAAATAAATATATAACATACGAATTATGAACAATTATATCTGGCACCCATACATCGTTACTTGAAATGTATAGAGAATTTAACCCTTCAAAATCATCGGGATTCCAGGTTAAATAAGGATCGGTCCAATTCTAATAATATTAATTTATTTTATATTTTTTAATATTGATGTTCACATTAAATTATTTCACATACCATTGCTGTCCAACAATGTACATCAAGAATGTTCGTTGCATCATTCTATTAATAAAAAAAATAAGTAAAAAATACCTATTCCTTTATTATTCTTTTAAATAAGTTTAATTTTATACTATACTAATTATTGTTTTAAAATTAAATCGCTTAATAATTTATTGAATATTAATGAACATTCATAGTTCTATCAATAAACAGAAGAATATGTATCATCAAATTTATAGTTTATGAAATTGATGAAAAATATTAAAAATTACATAATAAAAACTAAATTAAAATTAATAATTAGAATCGAAAAATAATAAATATACTAATAGAAATTAAAAAAATATAGTTTTTGTATTTAAACATTCTTTTTGATTCTACATATTCAACGCAAGTATTCATTGAGTATATTCATATTAAATTCAATACAGTATTTTTATAAAAAATATAAATATAAACGTTTAATATTTGAAAATTTTTAGATTTTTATAAAAGTATTTAATCAGTTAACTAAAGTTTGAATTATATAATACCATATCAAAATATTGAAAATCTAATGTTAAATCGTACTAAATCAATTATGTTCAAATTTAATTTTAATTATCATTCTTTCACTTATATAATATACAAAAAATTTAGGATTTTTCTAATTATTCAAATAAAATAAAAATTTAATACTGTCATTAATTCACCCGATATATTATTTTTTTAAATTTAATTTTAATAAATAACATACGAAATAAATTAACATAGATCAAATGTATTACCTTTTTCTCAAAACTATTCAAATAATTTTTATGTATAAATGAAATATGTATGTATTATAAATAAATTCATTTATACTTACAAATTCAATTATTTTCGGCATTACAGTTATTTCAATACTTGTGGTCTTTTTTTTGTTATTTTCTGGGCGCACATCAGCATCGTAATCACAAAATAAATATGATTTTAATTGCAGATATACTGATTTACTTGATATGTCCTTACATACATTCGCTAAAGTAATGCATTCATTGATAAAACTGCTTAAACTAATTAAAAATATAATTAAAATAGTAGTTTTATACATTTTATTATGTTTAATAAAAATAATAAAAAATTGAGTTAAACGACTGATTTTACGAGCATGATTTAATCTGAATGTTGCATAAAATACGCCCCGCGTAACATAAAACTATAGATATATTATATTGATCTACGCCCCTAAATGAAATTACATGATGGTTAATCTATAGACATATATATTTATTATTAATTATCTTGTGTTGATTAAAATACTATGTATGAATAATTTTCATTACTACTATACTATTTTTTTTTTAAATGTATTTTCTATACGTAGTTTGTTTAAAATGTTGAAACAATCTATATATATAGAAACTATGGATTTTATTGAAAAGCTAGAAGCAAAATTAAAAATCATGTAAATATAATGAAAAATTAATTTAGATTATATATTTTGACTTGATGCTGACCTTTAGACCATTGTTTTAATTAAGAAGTGTTGCAAGCAAGTATTTCAAATTCTGTCTTCTTAACTTTTTTTAACTTTTTATAATATATAATTTAATCATTTACATAAATATGATTTAATTTCAATATATTCAAAATAATACATTCAAAATTCACTTCTTTTATAACAAATTTTTATTATATACGCAGAATTGATTATATAACAAATTATAGAATTGTTAGAAGTATGGAACTTATCTTAATTACAACTGGTCTTCCATATTAAAATATCTGTTATTAATATCAAGGAGTTTATAAAATTTAATTGTACTCTTTGCCATTTGATTAAAATCTATCTCGCAAATTAAAAATTTTTTACTTTAATTTATATAATTAGATTTCAGTAGATTGCAGAGATCTCTCATAGAACACTTTATTTATAGTATACATTAATAAATACAATATCGATATTGAAAAATATAAAAAATATGAGAAATAAATATTTTTTATAATAAAATACTTATAAGGGCTGAAATATCTAATAAATTATAAAATAATTTATTATTAAAATTATTTAAATCATATTTACCAAATTCAAAATTATTATTTATACAAAAACGTATTTGTAAATCTGTATATTTCTTACATTATAAATTATTTTTTCTTTTAATTCTAATAAATTGGAACAAAGATAAATAAATGCGATATTTTATAATATGGGATAATATGTTAATTTATTTTCTCAAAATTATTTACAATGAAGTTTTATAAAATTATAAATATTGAATTATGTATTCAATTCAATAATTAATTAGATTTTTTTAACATAAATATAATCAAACATTCACTATTATACGTATACTTACTAGAAAGATGTCCAAATTACTTTTTAAATAATAATATAATTTTCATTTGAAAATTAAAATTAAAAAATTAAAAAATTAATTTAAAAAATTTTTTGCTATTAATATATATTTACATCATAATTATTTCACTTAACATTTTACAGATATCAATTTTAAAATTCTCAATGAATGATTTTATGAAAATAAACGAGTATTTTTCAACTTATAAGTTTATGATAGTAGATTAATAATTTATAAAAACAGGCAAAATAAAACCATATATTTTCACATATATTTTAATATTCATAAATATTTTTATATCGAGTGTAATAGTTACAGAAATTTATATAAAAATAAAAAAAATATATCTTTAATAAAAAAATTATAGTTTTTGTTTATAATGTAAAGACTAGGCACGTAATGTTAGTAAATAATTTTTTAAATTTTAAAAAAAATCAATCGCATTATATTCGATATTTTTCATTTAACAAATAATATTGAAAAAATAACTACCTATTTCCATTAAAATGTTTATTTTAAAAAATCGTATTATAAATTAAATATTTTATTATTTTTCAAAATATGTAACTATTCATTACATTTTAAAATTCTTATAAGAATTTTTAATATTTTTTATCTGCATGTTTTTACAGTAGTTTTGTTAAAAATATTATGTTTTAATAAAGTTAAAAAAATTAAAGTTTCATGTTACTATTTTTAGTCTCTTATTTTATTACTTAAATAATTTTAAACAATTATGCTAATTTATCATATGAACTATTTAAATTAACATTTGAACTAATATATTAATACTAATTCCTTTATCATATAACTAAAAATATTAGAATTTGATTTAATAAAATATAACAATAAAAAATTTACTATTTATTAAATTGCATATAAAATGGTGTTTCATTTTAGTGGTCCAAAATATAGATTTCAATATATTCCAAAATATTATTTATATCAAATAAAAAATAAATTTAGTTTATTAAAGTGGTTTATGTTGTAAGAACTTAAAATATTTAATACCACTAATTAATCTTACTTAATATATTTTTATATTAAGAATTCTTTTTATAATGAATAATCTTAAAAATCTAAAATTCTTTTATATTAGAAACCTAGATTCACAACTATCAATATAATAAAAAGCTAATGAATAAAAAGTATAAAGAAAATAATCAAGAAACAATATTTAAATTAATGTGAATATCATAGGGTACTTATTAAATAAACACTATTGTAATGCTTAATTTTATTTTATTTAACTTTTATTAACTTAAGCCTTATAATTTAATAAAAATTATACATTTAATATAATATGATTCACTTTTCTATGATGACTTATAAGAATGTTTTTCATTTTATTATATTAATATAAAATTATTAACATTTGTACAACACATTCATCTAAAAATATAAATTTAAACAAAGTATGTTTTAAGAGTCAACTATAAAAATATTAAAAAAAAATTAAGTAGAATAAATATTAATATCACAAATCAAGTTATTATTATTTTAATTATTTTTAGTATTAATTTCATTTTTGTTACTCCACTGAAAATAAATACATTGAAAAAATTCCTATTTTTGTATTTCAATTTTTTATTACAATAGTTTTTTAATAAAAGATTTACTTTTTAATATAGGATTAACAACTTTTAATCTTATAGAAATTTAAATAAATATTTTATAATTAAAAAAATTAAAATATATTACTTAGTTTTTCCATTTAAGAGTAATTTTTCGTATCTGAAAGAAAATAATTAATTGAATAAAGGTAATTAAAAAATCTTTTTTAGATTTCACAGATTTTACTATACCTTTTTTGGAGCAAACATTTCAGTAAATAATTCTTGTATTTCTTCCTTTACGCACTCTTCGCTATCAGCTAATACATTTCTTAATTGTTCCTGTAAACTTCTAATTCTATTTAACAGTAATATTTCAGTATCTTTTTTATCTTGAATAGATTTGTTTAATTTATCTTCTAAAATCTTCACTCTATCTTCTAAAGTTGCATTAATATCGTGTAAAACTTTATTTTCATGTAATAATTTAATTTTTTCATTTTTATATGTTCCAATAATTTTAGCTGTATCATTAGTGTTATCTTTTCTATAATCATGATCATTTAAAAATGAAATGGAATCATGAGAATTGAAATTAAACAATTCAGACATATTTTTATCTTTGCGAATTACAGGTAAATTTAAAGTAGGTATAGCATCAGGTATTAAATGACGTACTCCTCGACTTGCAGCAAATCCTAACCGTGACTTCAAAGTATATGCTGATTCATCAAAATGTATTGCACATACACGAGCTATAAAAATAAAATATAAATGAAAAATAAATAAAAAGTTTAATTCAAATTATATTGAGTAATTTATTTTCTCTATGCATTTATATTAGATATTAAAACAAATATCTTTATATTGAATTCAATTAATAATCTTTTATTTAAAAATAAATTTTGTGTTAAATTAATGTTGGTGTCAATAATGATTTTCTTACGTGAAGACACATTTTTACAATTATGTGGAATCCCACAAGCCTTATACCACTTTTTTCTAATAGTTTTATCTTTTGGAAAACTAAACATTTTTATACTACCATCTCCATCTTTTTTATTCCAAGAATTACAATTACAACCTTTTACAAAACACCTCATTACTGTAGTTTTCGCATTAATAGATGTTGCTTTAAATAATTGATGGTTACTGTGGATTTTGGTCTTTTGTACCAAATTATCATTTCATAATATACCAAACTTGTATTTCATATTATAGTGTTTCAATTCATTGACTTTATTGGGTTACCGTATTATATATGTAAAAACTAATAGCATTTATTAAGTAATGATATTTATAAGTACATTATCTTATATTCATAGCCAATGAATTTGAAATAATAATCATTTGGCGACATTTTTAGATGATTGATGTTTATATCATACTACATACGATATTTTGTAATATCTTAAAATATGTTCTTATACGTTTTACGTACTTAGTTATAATAAAATCGTAAATCATTGCATCTTCATTTATTTAATTCAATAGTCATGCTTTTATATTCATTTGACACATCAGCTTTATTATAAAATGACTTTTAATTCTATTTTTAATATCATTTATGATATAGATATTACAATTCATACAAATATTAAAAGAAATTCAACATTTAATTTAATTTATCTTGCTATCAATTATTTATAATACATAAATCCCTTCTACTATTGCTGAAAACAATATTCTAACCAATATACAAATTAATTGTAAACACATGCATATATGTATGCAAACTTGGGTTATTTAACGCTACATTACCAGCAGAACAAATGCAAGTATGCCAATTTTACTAGCATGTGCTTATTTACAATTAATTTAAATGGAAATCGAGTATCGATCTTGAATAGTTTAAAACTATAGATTTTGATTAAATTCACTGTAAAAGAAGTTAATTTTTCATAAGAATTATTCATAAATGATAAACATTATTTCTTTATAAAAAAATTATATATTACTTTTATAAGAATTATCTATTGATTTATATTTAACATAAATTACATAAATTATATTATATTTACAAGATGGCAAATCTTATATTTTACAAAATGATTAGACGATTCACTATTGTTATTGAATGGGATTATTTTAACATCTAATAATTGTATAAATAAACAGTACTTCAATATGCACATGTATTTATTAAATAATAAGTTTATTTGTATGTTAATAATAAGTTCAATTCTTTTTAAATGTATATCTTCTATTTGTTTTAACTCTCTAATATATTAAAGATTAAATTTTATAAATAATTTTATTTTTCAAATAATTTTTTAAATTTTGATGTATTTATATTTTAAAAATACTATTGCTTAATTATTAAAAAATTTGTTACAATCATTTGTTTTACAAAATGTCTGAATAATAAACTAAATTTATATATCTTGTAAAAATTATTGTACTTATTTAAAAATATTCAGTAAAATAGAGTTTAATTCATTTTCATTAATATGATCAATAATTTATCAGACTTTGAAGATACTGAAATTGAAGAAGATGATACTGATACTGATATTGTAATAATTGGTGCTGGACTGAGTGGTTTGACAGCTGCTGATAGATTAATTTCTGCTGGATTAAATATTTTAATATTAGAACAAACTGGTAAATAATATATTTTTAATATATTATTGTTTATTTTGTTTGTCAAGATATTTAAATAAATGTAAACAAATTGTTTTTATTCCAAATAATATAGAAAAATATAAATAAAATTTGAAGTAATTATTAATAAATAAATATATATTTTTTAGTTACATATTATTTATATATATATTTAGTTAGTATTAATAAATACATTTATATCTTTTAGTTATATAATAATATCGGTAATAAATAATATTCATAGCTGCATCATTTATTAATAAGGTATGAAGATATACAAAAGAAGCTCACTGATAAAGCTATTGCTATTTTATATATCATTTTCAAGATTAAAATAATTATTCCTAATATACAATATATCTCTTTAGATTAATTTATGAAATATACATAATTTATATTAAACTAAAATTTTTTAACTATTTAAATATATTAAAAATAAATTGAATAGCCTGTTTCATTAATTTGACATTAATTCAATTCTCTTAAAAACATGATTGTCTAAATAAAATACATCCCTTTTAAAATTATTGTATAATATATATACATTCAAATTGTCAATAAATACTAAACTGTATATACTTTAAAATTTGGATGAATAAATTTGATTTTTTAAGTACGTATTTTTAAGATGTATATTAAAAATTAAATTAGTTTGTAAAAATAAATAAGTAAATATCTATGATTCATTTAGGTTATACAGGTGGACGATTATTAACTTTAGAGAAGAGCAGATCATTTTATGCACATAAATTGCAAAATCGATTGAATGAAATGGTTCAATATTTAAATTTATCAAAAGAGAAAGAAAAATTTCCTAATATACGAAAAATTTTACATTTTGATAAAAATAAAAATATCAGTGATAACATACCGTTTTACAATCCAGGAGAAGTGTATTTTTTTATAAAATTGGTATATTTTCTAATTATAAAATTGAATTAAATTGAAGCTTAGATCATCATATTATTGTTATAAATATTATATACGTAATTATATACGTATATATTATATACATATTATATACGTAAACTTAATGATGGCATTTAATATGTTATAAAGAATTTAAGGAAAAAGAATTCATTAAAATTTTGATCAAATTTGAAAATTTATTTTTAGATAGATAGTATAAGCAAAAATGCATATTTTAAAACATATAGAAAAGAAATACTTAATGAAGAATTATCAAATGTTAGCATTGAAGATCTATTGTGTCGTTTAGTATTTTTTCGGAAATCTCGTTCGTTATGTCGAAATTTGATTTATGCTACATGTGGTATGTATTGTATAATCAATACGTATTATTTTTTCTTAATTTAGTCATTTTTATTAACAAAGGCATAGCGCAGTTGAAAAATATTTCCGCTCTTTGGTACATTGTTATGTTAAATGGTGCAGGTGGCTTTATTCAGCGATTGAGGGTAACTCTAGGAGATTCAAACCGATATTTTATACAGGTAAGATATTTTTATTTATACATTCTAATGATTATTTTATGGATAGAACATTATTGTCTCGGTTGTGTGATAAAACTAACTTAAATAAAAAATCTTATAAAAAACTAATTTTGCCCATTTGTTTTTGTATTTGGACAATATATATTAAAATTTCAGATTTAATAAATGAAAATTTGAAAACAAACTTGTTAACATTGTTTAATATTATGAAATATGTTATGGATAAAGTATCCACGTTTATTTGAAATTTTCACGAATGGATTCTTACATTAATTTCTTCAATATACCAGCGACAAGGTCTTTATGGAAAAGACGAAGTCTGGTCGGGAAATGGAATTCAAATAGATAATTTGGATTGCGATAAATTAAAATTACAAATAAATATAACTCGTAATTTATATTTTACTTTTCATTCGAATTTTGTAAACATATATTGCAATTTATTTATTAAGAACAAAATGTTTGAAAGTTGTAAGATATTTTTATATTTTAAATAATTGATAATCAGCATGTTTAAGTATAATATAAATACAATTTAAAATTTATTTTTTAAATTCATTTTTTTAATTATCAAATGAAATATTAATCTATTCCATTCATTATATAATATTATTTTATGTAATTTTATTTTAATATATATTATGACAGTACATTATTTGCTTCTCAAATTTTGTATAATATAATTTTTTTTATAACTTTGTTGTTGGCACATCTAAGAAATATTTATTTATAGGGAGGTGCAATGAATATAGCTAGATTATTGACAAAAAATATTAACAAAGAAAATCAAATTCATTGCCACGAATCAGTCAATAAAATCCAATTTAATGATGATCGAGCATATATTTGGACAAATAAAGGGCATTATAAGTATAAAATATGATCTTTTTAAAATAATTAATTGTTTAAAGCATTATTATTGATAAATAATTTTTAATTCATTTAATCTATTTTCATTTAGTTTATTTTTTTTCTATAAAATTGAACAGGAACAATAAATGATTAAAATAATTAATTACAATTTTATTCACTTATGCATATGGTTTAACAATATTTCCAGAATATTATATTAAATGATCTCATTTAATTTAATTTTTAAATTAAACACATTGATGTTTTATTTATTAAAGAGTGAGATTTCATTTTTTTATAATTTATAGATTTTATATTTTCCTAAAATATAAATAATTATTAAATCATAAATACCTATTATACTTTATTTATTAGATTATCATAAAAAATTACTTTTTATATACAAATATAAATTATATTTTTTATATTTTATAAGAATAATTTTTATAGATGCGATTATGTAATTCTTGCCGTTCCTCCACTTGAAAGCTCTAAAATTACCGTAGAACCTCATTTACCTTTGAATATAACAAAAGCTCAATCTTCATATGATAAAGAAACAAATGTTTTCTTTAACGCAAAGAGTTCACAGTTAATTGAGTCGAATAATTTGACTAAAAATATAATAGGAATTACAAATTATAATATGAATCTTAGATTAGCATACGATGCCACTATTAATAAAGATAATGAATTTCATGTTTCTGGATTTTTATCAAAAACAAATATAAATTCTGATATGAAAATGAATCTCTTATCTATCTTAAACAAGTGTTTTACAAGTAATATTGAACTTGAAGATTTGACGGAAACAAGTTGGAGAGTAATTCCTGGAGGAAGTCCAATGAATGTACCAAAACCGGGATGCTTAAAACATCATCTTAATTTATTATCAGAATCTCATGGACGGTACTAAAGTTTATTTCGACTTTAATTCGAATATTAAGCAAATATACATCAATTTTAGAATATTTTTTGCTGTCAGCGAATATGCTAAGAATTGGCCCGGTACTATTGATGGAGCAATTGAAGCCGGTAAATCAGTAGCTTATTCGATTCTTGAACGTGTGAGACCGCAGTCGATGAGTTCTTTAGAATGGAAATTACACAAGTTAGCAATATATTTTTGAATTATTCAATTTACGTAAAAAATGTCATAGTTGATCGTAACAATTTTTATATGCATTACATATAATTTTTAAATAATCCCGAAATTTTTTAAATATTTAGTTTATTAACAAAATTTATTTCTATAATCCGCAATTTATCATCTATATTATAAACGTCAAATGAAAATCATTTTTGTTTTTATTTATAATAGTTTTTAACAAATAATTTAATTACAATGTCAGAATATTTCATAATATTAAACAATGTTAACAAGTTTGTTTTCAAATTTTGTTTTATTAAATCTGAAATTTTAATATATATTGTTCAAATACAAAAACAAATAGGCAAAATTAGTTTTTTATAAGATTTTTGTTTTAATCTTTAATCTTTATTTTGCTTGTAATTTTGCCTTTAAGTATTTAAATGTAATAGATAATCCTTAAAAATTTATTTAAAAACTTAACCGTAATTAAACATTTACAATACTCATTTTGTAATTAAATCATTTGTTTCAATATATTATAATCATTACTGAATAGTTGCTTTAAACTCTATGATTTTTTTAACTTAAAATTTAATTATTGTATTTAAATTAAAATTGTTTTTATAAATTATTTAATAGCTCTTTGCACATACCACCACGTATCAATGAATTAAATATTGGAATTTATTTAATTCATAAAATTTGTTTCTGTCTTAATTTCTTCGTTCTCTTATCATTTCTCCAAACTAACTACTTATCATCAAAGCTCATGTAATACCAAAAATATTTGAGATAAATCGAGCTATTTCAATAGGAAAGTTGATAACAAATAATGAAAACAAAATAATCATCAAAGAATATATGTATAAAGATATATAATGGAAATTTCAAGTATTCCTGGTTTTGCCGATGAAAAAACCGAAATACAATTCAATGGAGTAAGTTTTTTCAATTATATTTTTTTCATTGTAATTATTGAATATTTATTTGATCGCATATTATTAATTAGTATTAGATAACTTATTTTCCAATAAACTCATTTATATTATGTAATCATTTTATTTGTTAAAAAATAATAATCGTTATTTTGATAATATATCTCAAATAATTATCTGGTAACATTAGTAGTTAAATCTTGCAACTTCAATTAATTTTTTCTTAATACTTGTTTTTCTATAATGTAAATTAACTAAAGATTTTTTGTTTTTATTAAATTATAAATACTAGTATTTTTAATGTTCTAGTTTTGGGATTGGTTAGTAACATATAATGACATTTTTGCATTATGGCAAGCACAGCCAAGTTTTATTTATTTACAGTCATTGATTATTATTGGCAATTTAATTACTTTATTTCATGGTAATTATATATACATATTTATTTATTTAATTTCTTAAATAATTATATTATTTACTATATTTAATGTTATTCCAAAACATACTTGAAATTTTATGATAACTGACATACCAAATTATTACATGCTATTCGAAATGTTTTTAAATTTTAATTACAGCATTAAAAAATGGAGGCCGATTTATACAATTATGGATTGGAATTATAATACATGGCTTAGTCATAGAAACAATTTCTTATAATCTTCCAAATATTGATAACTTTTGGCATGCTCAATCACCAATTATCTTTCTTGGTCGGCGGCTACCGTTATACATTATATTAATATGTAAATTTCTTTTATATTGAATTATTTATTATTTATGAGTAGCGTTTAGACAATATAATTAATTGATTAAAACTTGTTTACAGATGTTGTTTTTGTTTATCCTGCAGTAATTGCTGTTGATAGACTAAAATTACCAAGATGGAGCGAACCTTTCGCAGCTGGTCTTGTCGTTGTTTTAATTGATTACCCATATGATGTAATGGGTGTGAGATTAATGCATTGGACTTGGCATGACACGGATCCTAATATTTTAGATAGACATTATTATGTACCATGGAATTCCTTTTACTTTCATGCATCATTTACTGCCAGCTTTACTTTTTGGTTTCATTTTTCACGATTCATTGTGTTTGGAAAAACTAAAAAATGGAACTTTACTGGATTGTAATTAATATTCCATTTTATATTATTTGAAGAATATATTTAAAATTAAATTAATGCAGCAATATTAACTTTTTAGCTATCTCAAGGAATTTGGATGTACACTGATTGCTGCAGTTTTAGGCATGCCCGGAGGTGTTCTCTTATTTATTTTACTTTATCATCCTTTACATGATGTTTTTAAAATTCATTCAGAAATTACCCTTTTTTTACTTTTTTCAATATTTTTGAGTATTATATGGCTTAGTTTTCCAAAGATAATAAACACAACTTATATAAGCACTACAAAGAAAACTACTAATTGTGTAATGTTATTCTATATATTCTGCTACTACATATTTTTCATTGGTAAGTTTCAAACATTGAAAGTAATTTTAAAATATTTTAGATTCAAATTTTTAATTTTAGGATTAGCTATATTTATTGATCCTGCTTCTGAAATATCTATTGGATGGCATGAACCAATCGGTCCATGTTATGAGAATTCTTCAATGCTGAATGCTTTAGGTCAAACATTATATAAAAGAAAATATCTGTGCCTAACAGATAATGATGAATCCTATTTTGGATGGTCTTGTTTATCAAATGGAATACCTCCCAAGAATGGAGCAAGATGGTACACAATTTGTGGTGCTCCATTTATTAATCGAGTAGAATATATTATTATTTTGTTAACAAGTTCAATTTTTGGCTGTAGTTTTTTCTTTAAAACATTATATTCTAACAATATTACTAACAGAAAATGTAATTATGATAATAATTCATTGATTCAAAAAAAGAACAAATTTAAATCTAATTAAATAATTAAAATAATATAATTTGTGCATGGTCACACTCAAATAAACTATATTTTGTTTTGTTTTTTAATCTTCTATAAAGTAATTTATTATGTATTTGAAATTACTATTACTACTACTATTATAGAAATTCCAACCACAAATATAGAAGTTAACCACAACCACATGTAAGAGTTTTTATTATCATTAGTTTGTTCTTTATTGTAATTGTAATGACGATCTTTACCTCTCTGTTTAGGTTTAAATTTTTTTTTAAACATCTCAATTTCTTTTTGATTTTTTAATTCTTCTTCTTTTCGTTTTTTTTCTTGTTCCATTTTTTGAATCTGTACTAATTCTTCTTTTATTTTATGACAAACGTTATCACAATTTACAATAGCTTGTCTAGCACGTACTGAAATACATGAAAAATCTTTCTTTATCCGTTTACATTCACAAAATATTTTGACTTTTTTATTACAAAATTCAGATTTTTGACATGGTCCTGCATGGCAATCGTCGATACATCGATGACCACAAGGATACTGAAATCAAATGTAAATTAATAATCATAAATTAAATCTAGTAAAAAATTGAAACAAAAATTTTATAACAAATGAAATGGATATACTAAATGTAACTAAGAAAATAAAATAATATAATTGGAATCATAATAAAATTTACATTTTGGGGGCATTGATTTCCACACACTAAAAGTTTATTGTGCTTTTCAGAAGTAATAGAAGTAAGTTGAGCACAGCGTACATAAAGAATGTTAATACCGCAATGACAAGGAACTTTTACAAGTTCTGTACATGGTTCACAGGGAGCAGGATGACAAAATTTTAGACAATCATGTATACATCCTTTTGGTCTTGAAAAGGCACATGGCTTTTCACATACCATACATTTATTTTCATCATTATTAGTATCATTTAATAATTCAAGTTTGTGGCAAAGTTTTTCACACGTGTGGTTTGTACACGATAATAATTGACCACACTGTCTAATACAAGAGGCTGAAACAGCCTTGTAACAAGGCTGTGAAAGTGTTTCATGTCCTCCTAAACATGTAATCATAATAGATATTTCACAAGGAGGACATAGAAAAGATTTATATTCCCATTTTTCTTTTTGATTTTCCCATGGTCCAACTGGTTTAGAAATTTCATTTGGCTTAGTTTTTGTCCAAACTTTAGTATGACAAATTGCTGGACAAGCATGATTGCATCTTTTATGAAGTAATCCACAAACTTTATGACATGGTGGACAAACACCTTGATGACATTTATGTGACTCTCTTTTAGGATGATGACAAATTGGTGGTATCTTACACATTTTATTGCAATTTGGAGGTTTGATTTTTTTCACTGTTCCACAGGGAATCATAATTTTATTATTGCCACAACGACATTGAATAACAATAGTACGAGAACATGGATAACATGGTCCTCTATGACACAGAGCAGAACACTTATGCTTACGACAATTCAATGTATTATCACATATCTTTTCACAAATATTAAAATTATTTTGTAATAGACAATCACAACATTTTTTATTACATAGATGAATACCACAAAGTCTCATTTGTGGACATTTTTTATTACAATGAAATTTTTTAATACAAGGAAGTTCTTTACTAAAACTTTTACATCGGCAAGTTTTTGTTATAACTTCTAAACATTGTCCACACCCTTCTGTGTGGCATCTCATATTGCAATAGTGAGCTCCACAATCTAATAATTTTCCACAAGTATCTCCACATGTTGGTACTTGCTGTTGTTTACATGATATATCATATTTTTTTTTACCACATGGACATGTTCTATTTCGTTCTAATGGACATGTATTACAATCTCCAGGTTTATGACAAAACTCTTTGCATATATGAATATTGCATGAAAAGTCTCTTCCACACATTTTATCGCACAACCACAAAGAATCATTACATCTTCTAAATTCAGATTTACTTTTGCAATTACATGCACTAAAGACCTTTTCTGAACAAGGTGAGCAGAAACCAGAATGGCACTTTTCTGTACATCTATGCTCACAAGCTATATACTCCTTATTACAAATTTTACCACAGCTCCATTCTTTAGCATTACACCTTCTAGGATAAGGTGCTTGTTTTCCACAATAACATGCAACTGACACCATTTTTGGACATGGAGGGCAAGAACCTGGATGGCATAAAAGCATGCATCTGTGACTACATTTTGGTTGTAAAAATTTTTTACACATATTTCCACAAGAATGGGGAATTGACCATGGTTGATAAGATGGATCTTCAATTTTTCCACAAAAACATACATATCTTTGTGGTATTTGGTCTTGTTGATATTCTGTTCTACATTTTGGACTAGAAAAAACATTAAATTACAATAAAATTAATTTATATTCTTAAAAAGCTATTTCATACTTTATTTTACAGATAAATAATTTATAATTTTATAAATTCTAACAAAACAAAATATTTAATGAAATACTTTTATTATAATAAAAAAATAAAGATTTTACATAAGTCTTATAGAACATACCATCCCCAAACAGGTGTGATACCTTTTTCATGTTTATAATTTAAGCTATCTTTCGCCCAATGTTGAATGCAAGATAAATGTAAAAACGCATAACATTTGATACAACTCCAAATCTATAAAAATAATTATATTGTTATTTTTAAGATAAAATTATTCAAACTTTAATGTTTTAAATAGTATATGCATACTGCATCATTTTTTTTTACTGAAGAAATACAAATTAAACAAACTGCTCCACCAGACTGAAAAGTTTCTGTTAAATAGGACAATGTTTTTTTAACATTACCACCTTCATATTGATAATCAAATAAAACTTTTTCAACAGCTGTTTCTAATACTTCCTCATTTTCATTCTCACTACTTGAAGATTCAATAACATTTGTTTCCAAATGTTTTTTTTATAGATTCTTGATTTTGTACTTGAGCTTTTTTAAACTTTTTCATGATGTAATATACTTAAAAATAATTAGTGTATTTAAGAAATTCGTAATTAAAATTAAATTTTGATATTTCTAAATTATTTTGTCCATCAATAATATAGGTAATATAAAAATTATGTAAAGATTTTTTTTTAAGTTTAAAGCAATGTATGTTAAAAAAAGTAATACTAAATAATATTATGTTAAACTAAACATAAAATTTCTTAAATAAACATACAATAAATTTTAATTGAATGACAAAAATATAAAAAACGGTATATTAAACAAAAATGAAGAACTAATATAATATAAAATACTGTGTATTTTTACCGGTGTATGTATCTTAATCCAATAATAAACTACGCATTTATACACCATAATTTAAAAGTTGAAGTGTCAGTATATGAAGCAATGTATGTATTCACAGAACAATTAAGGTTATATCTCTTAGCAGTTAGATTTCAGGCACATGTTAAAATTACAATGTATATCACTCTAAACATTCGAAAACGTTACAATCACTTTTACAAATAGAAAAACTTGTTTTATTTTTTTTTTAGTTTATATCAATAAAATTAATAGAAATAATGTATTTACCATAGAATTAAGTATAAAAGTTATGAAAACAAGGTGATAATTTATAATTTAAAAAGGTAATGATTGTTTTAACTATTAAATCTTAATACTTTTTAATATACATATATAAATCAAATTTTTACAGAGTACCAGATCAAGAAATTATTTAATTCCAAACAAATTATATTAAGTTTTGTACGATTGAAGACAAATTATGCTTCTATTAATTTTATTTAAATATTTTTATAGACTTTTTTTGACTAAAAATTCTTTAAAAATAAGAAATTCTACAGTATAAACATGATTAATGCAACAAATTGGAAAAAAAATTTGTACGAAAATTATGGATTGCCAGATAATTATACAGATGTTTCTTTTTTAGAAGAATTACGTAAAAATATCAAACCTCATTCAGTAACTGTAAAAGAAGCTATTAATCTTGGTGCAAGTATTTCAATACAATTTAGTATTGTTATTCTGTTTGTTATTGTATTTATTTGGCTAAATAATGACTGGGCAACACCAAATACAATTTTTATTATTAGTACCATTTTAACAATAATTGGCTATCTAAAGTATATTCTGAAAAGTTGTAAAATGTTAGAACGAGTATCAAAAGATTTACGTACAGTATTAATTTTTTTAGCTTTCGGATATATTTTATCACCAGTATTAAAAACATTAACAGAAACTATAAGTACAGATACAATTTATGCAATGACAATTTTTATGTTTTTAATTCATTTGATTTTTAGTAAATATGGTTCAACTAATGTTTCTCTTTCCGAGTCTTTATCAATAACATCATCTATTTTTGGTTCATTAATGTTAACTTCACGATTATCTACACCATCACATGCTTTTTCTTTACTTACTGTAGCAGTTCAGTGTTTTGTTTTATTGCCATTTTTATTATCCAAACTTCATAATAAAATTTTTATATCTAATATTTTGGCATTTGGCACTTTATATTTGCTTTGCAATATATCAGCAACATTGTCATATGTTTTTGTTTCAATGTTAATTCTTGTACATTTTATTTGTCCACTTTGGTATATAAAGTGTCAAAGATATAAAGAAAATATATATGGTCCATGGGATGAAGCAGTGGTTGATTAAAATTAAAACTACAGTGAAAAGTACATGATAAAGTGCATATAATTTACATTTACTGTATATGCAATTTAAGTTATCAAAACATTATTCATATACTGTAAATGCAATCTAAGTCAACAAAATAGAAGTAATTGATATTAAAAATTGACATTGATTACTAGTCTATTGTAATATAAAGTTACCATTGTGTACTATTATTATTAATTTTAGTATAAAAAATGATTGTTATAATTATAAAATAAATTTTTTATATTTCCATTTTTTTTTATTTATTAATTATATAAAATATGCTAAAAGAAGCATCAATGCATAGTTATGGTTTAATATAATTTTTTAAAAAATATTTATTAAATGGAAGGATAACAATACATTATTTAATTAATTTATACAATATATATACATAGTTTATTTGACAATAATAAATTGTAAAAGTCGCTTGATTCTTCTAACAAGTGCTTCAATGAAACCTTGTTCCACTGTTGTATATTCACTGTGTGTTTCTAAGAGTCTTGTAACAAAGCTATCTGTAAAAACAGATACCAATCCAGTTTTTAATTCAGGAAGTAATTCATTTAATTTTCTCCATTCTAATGTACTATCATCAAAGTTAATAGAAGATACTAAAATAAAGTGTAATTTTATAAAACTAATATCTTATCAACTTAATAATATTTAAAATATGTAAGAGATATTTACAATGACTTTTCGATTGAGCCAATGCCTGCATAGCATAAAAATCTAAATGACTCCATAGTATATATAAACTATGTTCAATGATCAATGACGCATATTTCATATTCTGATGTTTCATCTTTTCGTGTCGATATATACGTTGTTCAATAATTATTCTTTGTTTACCTATATCTAATTCAATTTCTTCTTCTGTAAGAAACTGAAAGATAAATATATAAATATATATATTGTATTATGTTACAGACTTTTTAATTTATTCTTCAAATAAAATATAACTAATAATATTATTAATATGTCATAAATATTCTTATTTGTTTCTCTACCTGTTTTATAAATAAATTATTCAATTGCTAAATTTTATTTGAGAAAAAATAGAATTTCAATATTTTAATTTAGTCTTAAAATTGATTATAATGGCTTGTTCTTACAAATATATATGTATTTTTGTTAAAATGTTAGTTATTTTTTATTTTAATGTAATCATATAGTTATGTAATAATTATAAATTGAAATTTTTTTTACATAAATATAAAATGTATTATTTAACTATTTCAATTGGGTATCAATTAGATATAGTATTTTCATGATCATTTTTTAAATGAAATGTAAAAATGCTTATACTTTTTTCATATCAGATGAGCTCATTTCTTTAACACAAATAGACCTTTTTTGTGACAGCAAATATTGCAGTGAATTCGTTGCAGATACTAAATGTTCAACAATAACACCTAAGTGCATTCCATTGGAGGCTTCTCTCATTCTAATATCACGATTATCAGGTTTTTCTGATAAATAAGGCTCAAATAGAACGTGTCTTAATTTTTGATTCATATGACTGTGCTGCATTTGGTTTCTAACATAAAGTAATATATTTGCACCAATTTGTACACAAGAAAAATTTTGTTGATCTGAATCTCCTTTAGGTAATGGTTGAAACTTTGGTAACAATGCTAACATAAGCTTTTGTAATCTGTAAAGATGAGCTCTTAATTCCCTTATTCCAGTACTATCTCCTAAAGTACATTCACCTATTTCTGATTTTTCTACTTCTTCATCAACCAATTTATACATATCTTCAAATAATTAGCATTGTTATTATGGTATTTATTAAAATAAAATAAAATAAAACAAAAACTATTAATCAGACTTACCAATATTGGCAGATCGAGCAATTACTCCTGTTAAACAAGCAACTTCATTCATAAACAGTACATTTGAATTTGGCAAAATATTTCTTAGTATCATCTCTACTGTATCTCTATGACTTTGTAAAAATCCACAAATTTGTATGGCACATGACTGATTTTCTGTACCAAGAGTAGTTAGTAATGCATCACATAGATAAAGCATTGGTAAAAAAATTTGCTGATATCTTTGACCAATAGATGGTAAGAAAGAAGGATCAGTTCCATTAAAACTATCATTAACATCAGGATGTTGATCAATAACTGACATACTTGAAAGACAAGATAAAATCTTATTTTCTAAAAGACTTTCGGCGCCCATTCTAGTTGAAGCCATTCGAGTAAACATCGCTATTTTTGCTTCATACAAATAGAGAAGTCTTAAAGTTCGAGGATTTAATTGAAGCATACATCGAAGCAGATTATCTGATTCAAGTAAGCTATCGATCATGTGTTTTAAATAACCTTGACTTGAAAGATAAATAATCCATGAATTATCACAATCTAGTTCAAGAATTTTATTTAAACAAGAAAGTCCAAGCATTTTACAAACATCATGCCCACTTGAACAACTATGACATATAATATCCATTAATTTATCACCAAAACTATTTATTACTTGAATAGTAGCATAACGATGTGAGCGTTCTTGCATTGGCAATGTTCTATGTATAGAATTATCTAACTGATTGACAAATGTTGTACTCATACCATTAGATTCTCCTGGTTTTTCTGATCCAACAACACAAAGAAAATATAAAAGTGCTCCGTAAAGATGGGTACGAACTTTCTGAGAAGAAGCCTCAGAATTAATGATCCATTGCAAAATATGATTCAAAATTATTTTCATCATTGTTGTATTTGTAGGTGAAGAAGGTAGTAACTCATCATCAGATTGCAATGCAAAACTAACACGTAAATTTACAAGAAGTATTAAAACTGTTCCGGAAACCAATGTTTTTATTTCATTTAGTGCTTCACATGAAGTCATTTTTTGCAATAAGTCGTGAGAAAGGTTTAAAAGAAAATTTTGTCTTTGTGCTGCAGGAAGTTGTTGATTTGTTGCTATAGAAAAAAGTATTTCAGTGGTTTGACACCATCCTTCTACAAATTTAACTGTTGCATATGATAGAGTTTTAGTTTGATTTCTTTTTAAAGCATATGTTAAAATTGATTGTAGTTCTTGTTGCATTAACTTTCTTTGAGTAGTAGTCGCATTTCCTTGTGTCACAGAGAGTTCTTCTGTAATAAGCAAATGCAACTTTTTTATATCTATCAATTGTGGTCCATCGGAAAGAGCTACCGGTATACTGCAACGACCAAAAACCATTTCAACTTGTGAAGGATCAAAATATTCCCATGATTTTGGAGATTCTAATTGTAATTGAAAGTCTATATAATGTAATAAATCCATAAGTAACTTTTGTGAAGGTACCACTTGATCTCTGTCTTGTCCTAAATTACCTAAAAGAAGGACAAATTATATATTAAATTAATTAGAATGTAAAAATGTTTCTTTTAAGTATATAAACACTAACATCTTAGTATTCATATTATTTTGTTTTTAAATTAGTATGTAAATAATCAATTAAAATTATATTAAATATTTTGAAGTTTTTATTATAAAATAACAATAGAAAATTGACATAAATTATTCAAAAGTTTTTTACTCAATTTTATTTACCAATAAGTCTTTGAATTAAAGAATTTTGGAGGCTTCCACTTCCAATGCGTAATTCTATCGCTGCAATTTTAAGCAACCATGACATGCAAGTTAAGTCAGTAGCTCTGTTTGTTCCTTGAAATGGTAATTTTGATAAATGTCGTTGAATAAAGTCTTGATTAGTAGCAGTTCGAAGAAATCGTAAGACTGGTATGGATGTTTTGGTATTTGATGTAAGCGAATGAAGAAACCAATAACATGCTTCTGTTATTTTATCTCTTCCTCTTTCTAGCGATAATTCTAAAATCCCTAAAATAGAGTGTAAACATGTTCGTGGATAGCCAAGAATTCCTGGTTGTTGAATAACAGTTTTTCTTATATCCTTTGTAATTTCAAATCCTAATAAATAATGAGCTAAATTTGGAGATGGTCGTATGATACTCTGCATCATCAACAACAGAATTCTGTCTTTACAGTGTCCTGATTGCTGTTTATTTCGTTCGCCTTCTTCTTCATTCTCATTACCAGTGTCTTCCATGTCTAGGCATTCAACAAAACCATGTCTGATGTTGATTGTAAGAGATGGTGTGGATGTAAATGTTGAAAGTAATTCTGAATCAGCACCAGGTTCATTAGATACAGAGTGAATTACACCAACAGCAACATATGCGTGTCTTCGTAGCCAATTGTTGTACAAAATGTATTTTGCAACATTAATCATATGATCAGGCTTACCCGTACGATGATTTACACCCAACAAAAGTCTAGATAATCCAGTGGAGATTTTGTTTGAGGATGAAAGGCCCAGTTGCAGCATATATAGATGTTGAGTTTTTAAACAGTGTTCTAAAATTTCCAGACAATACAAAGTACTCTCTTCAAGATACTTTTTACCAGGAAATGAGTCATAAGTATCCAAATAGTTACATCCTTCATCAAGAATATAAAGAATTATTCGTAGTAATTCAGTATTTGAATGAAGTTGGGTCATCAAATGATAACCAGGTGATGCATTGACCATGGTTGATTCCCCTCCTTGAAGTTCTACTTTACATCCAACAAAATCTTCAATAGTTAACTCATACTGCTTAAGTAGTTTAAAAAGTATTTTTAAACAAGCATTAGCTACATCCCACTTTTCACTTGGATTTTTGTAAGAGCGCGTATTAAATCGAAGAAAAACAGTATTAATGATAAAATGTAAATATGGATCAAATCCTGGATTTCTTTGACCAACACCAAGTAATCGAAGAGTAGGAAAATCTGTCAAAACATCTAATAATTCTAACATGGCTCGAGTTAACGGATATTCTTCATTTCGAGATTCGATTTCTTCTAATTCAGTTTGAACGCCTCTAGGCTGGTAACTGCTTGTTGTCGGAATTGTTGTAATGATTTGAGCAGCTTCCAAATTTTGCCAAACAGTAGATGAACTTTCGGGAGATTTAGCAAGAGCTGCCAAAGTTTTTACCAAAACTCCTTTTAAAGGAATTGGCATGGCGCAGCTTACTAAGCCTATAAGTGACTGCAAAACTTTCCAACCAGGATGGTCACATAAAGCTATTCTAGACATTTCATCATATTTTGCTACAACTTGTACCACTTGAAGTACAGCTTCTAAGCCTTTAACTTCATTCGGTGTTATACCTTTTGGATGACCGCGCTGTCGATATACAGTATCTTGCGTTGGTGGTAACTCTTGTCGTAAATTATAATAATATCGATTTAATGAATTGAAAAAATGATCCCAAGAAATTGTTGTTGAACCAGTTGATCCTAAATATTGATTAAGGTATTACAATTTATTTAAACTATTAAATAATAAAATTATTGAATTAATTTTTGAAGGGCACTATGAATCATTTAACTTACCATTGGGTTTTAAAAAATTAAAGGACTGTCTAGCTGCTTGAGTCGATGAAGCAAGGGAAGCAATCATGTTTAAATAAGGAACAAATAATCCAGCTGGAAGAATTTCACCAGCTAAACGTATAAATTTAAATAATGCAACTTGTCTTGATGGTAAACGATTAACATGAATAGAATTTGGTACATGTGATGGTTCAGAATGTTGACACCAGTAGTCCATTGCTAAATTTAAATTTAATGGATCATACCCATATAATTCAGCTATCATAAGCATTAAAAATTTAAAATGATTATCTAAATTTACTGGAGGCTCAATTCCTTCTTGTTGATAAGCTTGTATTAAACGCATAGATTCATCGGCTCTACTTCTAAGTTCTTTGATCTTCAGTGGCATTAATAAAATGAAATCTGATATTAAAGTATGAAAATAGCGAACATAAAATTCTTCATAATGCAAGCATTCACTTTTAAAAAGTACATCAGCTGCAAAGTGAAAAGCTTTACTCGATAAAGCAGCTTCGACTAATATTTCATCTTGGTTTGTTATATTTTGTCCTGGGCACAAATTAGGTGCTGATTTAATTGTTGTAACAGCTATTGCAAGAACAAATTGAACAAAACCTCTTAAACCTGTGCTTTCCCAAACAATGTTGGATGTTACCAATTTCTGGACAACTTCTTCAAAAACACCTCTTTCTGCTATTATACACATAGAGCGAACAATTTCTGTAAAACCAAATATAAATAATTAAATTAAATAACTCTTTTTTTTTCAATTTTTACCTTCGCCATCTTCTCGACTATGTAGAGGACTCAGATTAATTGAATTTAGAAAAGCCATTATAAGAGCTAATGTGACTTTATCAGGATTGCCCTTGCCAACTTCAGACTCTGGTCGACGCTTTTGCAACAATGATAAAAGCCTAAACATTACTGTACTTGGCAAGCTAGACTGAGCTGACCACATATAGAGAATATCTGATAAATCTTGCCTAGTATCATTAAATAACTTCATAACCATGTAATGATGTTTTGCACCACCAAGTGCTCTATTTTGTTGCAAAAGATCTTGTTCCTATAGTATAAAAAATAAATATATTTCTAGAAAATTTTTTTTTATGTAAGAAGATAAAACGAAATTATTTATTATTAACAAATATTTAAATTAGATACTAAAAGTACATTTTACAATTCTTATATTTAATTAAATTAAATTCTATATTGCATATACAAAAACATAATAAAATACATCATTATTATATTAATAGATCAAGTTTAGCAGAATGAGAAAAATTTTAATATTATTTACTATTATTTTAATATTATTAAATTAATAAAAGTTGTGAATGATTTGGCTAAATAATGATAATAATCAACCTTAGTTGGATCCATTTCTTCAAGCAAATATAATATTCTATCTAATAACCCATCTTGTTGCATTTTATTAGTATATTCTGTTATTTGCTTTGTTAAAGTCATTGGTATATCTAGCATCCAACTATGTCCTACTCTAGCCTGTACTAAAGTTCTTAATGTTGATGTAAGAGCTTTTCTTCCATCATAATATAATAAAATAGCTGTTAAACCTCTTGTTAATCCTGGATGATGAGGCATTTGTAATTGAGCAGTGTATAATAAATCAAGAGCCATAAATTCATTTAAATCATACATATCACTTATAATCAGAGTTTCATCAATTAATTCTTTTGTAAGCAACTGATGCCCTAATCCAGGTGAAGTTATACCTTGCGAATCACCTTTTAAAATTTCTTCTCTACTTTTATTATTCTTTGGCTAAAAATAAAATTAAAAAGTATTAGTTATTCAATTAATAATTAATTCACAAACATACTCACTGGATTTTTTAATAGAGTCAAGAAATTTTGTCGATGATTACGAAGCGTTTCTGTGAATTCATGAAATTGTGGATCTAATGTACTTGGCGATGATGTGACATAACGTTCAACAAGACTTTGTAATTCTTTATAAGGAGTCCACATATCTTCTGTATTACTTTTTTCTAACATAAAATAGTTGACACAAAAAGTGATCAATTGTATCGGTATATGTATTTAAATTAAGCGTTTTCTTATTTAATTCTCATAAGGATTCAATGAACTACCAATAGGTTATAATGACTATTGTGAAAATAATTGAAAGAATGGAATGACTACTTACCGCCAGTCATTTTTATAAACTATTAATAAATTAATTACAATAAAACTTAATAATTATTATTTATTCAAAGTAAAATTATTGTTTTAAAATTTATATTTCACGTAGCGTCACAAAAATCTACACATTATAGCCGGCCGGGTGAATACTAAGTTTTAAAGAACTAATACAAACGATACGATTAATCCGCTTAAAGTTGACCTATTAGTTTAACAAAAAATTTAAATAAAATAAAAAGTTCGAATTCAAATAATCAAATATAAAATCCTATTTATAACTTAAAACTTTTTGTTATAAATACGTGAAAAAATAAAAATCAAATATATATTTTTATTACTAATAAAAATTTATTGTAAATTACTATATACTCTTAAATATTCATAAAACTATTAATATAATTGGCAATAATTATACGAAAATAATATTATAAATAAGATTTTTTGATAACTAAAGAAAACGTCAATTATTATTAGACAATATTAAAAAAAAATTAAAAATATAAATATATTTAAATAATTATTTATAATAAATTTCCAATTTGTATTAAAAAAAAATTATATTTTTGTACTATTCACTACTGAAATACTTAAACCGTTCAAATTTTTAATATAATTTATGCTTCTACTCTAGTTTATATTCGTTGATTAAAATTAATGGCGGGAACAGAACATTTGGTAAATAATATATGCAATAAATATTCATACATTTAATTAAAATTAATTGCTTCTATATATATTTATTATACATTACAAAATATGTATGATTTTAAAGAAATAAATTTTATTTTCATTAATAAAGATATTCTAATTGGATATATTTCATTACATTTAACACTTCACGAATTTCATATATATTTATACATTACAATAAAATGCGTATATATAACAAAATAAGCATGAATATTTTATGATTCTGATGTACATTACATTATGCAAATATTTGGTAGGTATTATATTATGAAATTAATTTATTTATGTATATATCAAATTTTATAATATAATTTATCATAATGATTGAATATTGAAGAAGTAATGTAATATATATATATATATATATATATATATATTGACTTATGACGAATAATCAACTTTTTCATATTTAATTTGTCATTCGATTTCAAGTTACAAAAGTTTTTATTGATACAAATTATTTCACTATGTTATTTTTACTTATATAGTTGTAATTTATATTGATATGCTCTTGTTATGTTACAATAAACAAGATGTACAAGAAATATTCTATCATCTAAATTAATAATAATGGTAATTAATTAAGTGAATGAATCTATCTACTTTTTTACATATATATTATTAATACTTAAGAACTTTGTGAATTAAACATTTTTAGTACACCATTTTAATGATTTCTATATTATATTATTACTATATTATTATATTATACTATATTATTATATATACTATCTTATTGAATCTATTAGTTGGGAAATTAAACACATATTTCAATGCAATTTTTATTAATAAATCCTGAAGTTTCAAATGTGTAGATATTCATGATACTTACTTTTGCATTGTTAAAGTTTACTTTATATAAAAAATTAATTCTATATTATAAAAAATAAATATATTGTTATTTTTTAACGAATTTCTTATTATTAAAGCCAATTAAGATTAATAACAATGAAATAATCATTTATTTAAAAACCAAATTTTGTTTTCTTAAGAAACTATTTGACTGTAGTTAACTAATTTGAATAACATTAACAGTCAATAAAGAATATATAAAGACTAGAAGAATTTTAATTTAAATAAATTCTCACACAATTATTTTGTAGATTCTATTTTGTATTATAATTCTATTTATATGAATTGTGTGAATATATATATATTACATATATAATACAATGAAAGTCTAAACATTACCAATTACTTTTCACTTAATGGATAAGTATTATTTTATTTATTATTATTTAAAATGAATTATAAGATATTTTTAAATAATTACACTATATTCATTAAATTAAATGTAAAAATTTTTAATTATTTCAACAACTTTTCGTTGCGATTATAATTGTTACTACTGAAAAGTAAATATTTATTTCAGGATATCTAATTACAGTTTGAGAATATATTAATTTATAAAATTAGTTAAGCATACATTCTTTTTTATACTTAAATAATTGTATCGATAAGATTCTATATGTATTATTTGCGATGATTTGTCAATTAAATAAGTGTAATGACACTGGAGATGAAGTAATAATTAAGTTAGTATTTGAAATTAAATATTTATTCAATTTTCGTAAAAAAATTCATACAAATTTCCGTCTAAAAATTTATTATTAGAAATGTATTATGTTACAATTATAAGCGAAATAATGTTTGTATAATATAGTAAAAACATGTTTCTACATATAAAAAATATATTTTAAAACTCTTTATTCTTAAAATCATTGAATCAAATTAAGTAAAACGATAAATTGATATTAAAAGTAAAAGATTATTTTTAAAGCAATACATCGTTTTTGTAATTTAATTTCTTTCATGTTTACGTTATTGTTTCTTTCATTTTATGTCTTACGTATGCTTTAAAAATACATATAAACTTGAACATTTTTATAAATTGTAATTATAAATAATTTTAAGAACTACTATAAATTATAAATTATATACAAGATTTCTTAGATTTCAAACAAATATAAGTTTACATTATCTATAAAAAAAATCTTAATGAAATATTAATTTAATTTTTACAATAGAAAATACAAATATAATCAAAAGTAAAAAACAAAATAATATTATATACATAAACATTAGTTTTGTAATTTCAGAAGTTGATACAATAAAATTCTGAAGAATTAATTTATTTAAAAACCAATTATGCGATTAATGTTACATCCATATTTCCCGCTAGTGTATAGTCAGATAATTATTCTTTTACCTCAAAATGGATAGTTTATAGCTCTGTTTAAAATTCAGTAGTCTTCGCACGAGTATATTAAATGTTAATTTTTACAAACATTTCGTATTGAAGCACGTGCAACCTATTGTTTACTATTGTAAGGTAAAGCAAATTAAAAATAATAAAACTTTGGATTCGATTTAAAATTTTATTTATTCAAATTAATTTAATTACATTTAAAAAATATATATATGTTTAAACAAAGGATGGCTACATATGCAAAACATCTTAAGATAGATGGTAATTATATTAAATATATGCTATTGTTTATAGATTTTAATGTAAAATTTTCAATTTAAACCAGCATTTGAAATATTTCTTATTTATAAATTTAATTACTTTATAACTAATGTTATTAATTTGTTCATTCAGAATCAGAAGTTACAAGTGTATCACGTAGCGGTCGTGTATGTAAAAAGTCATCTAAACTAATGTATTTCGACTCCACTAAGTGTAATATTGGTAACAAAAAAAAAAATCTTTCAAAACGCTATAAAAAAATTAAGCAATCTCAAAATACAGAAAATGTTGATATACCATATGAAAGCCAGATTTCAGAAGATAGTTCTATTATTTCTAAATCTCAAAAACGATGTTCAAACACACTTAAGAAAATTTCTGCAACAAATCAATCGATTGAAAAAAAAATAAAATTTGATATAAATTATGAAGTGTCACAATCAAGTAATTATGAAACAGAATCAGATTCAATTCCAAGTAACAATGGTTTACAAACTCCAGATTATACAAGTTATGATGAAGATAGTCTATATTCTGATGAAGAATTAGTAATTTCTAAATTAATAGCACCAGCAACAGAGCCTAAGAAACTTGTTTATCCTAATTTAATGGTTGAAACTAGAATTAATTCCATTAATGAGGTGATAAAAGTATTTATAAATGAATTTATTAAAAAAATTATTCTTTATTATGGTATAAATTTATTGTACATGATATATAATTTATAATAATTATATTTTTTATTAAATAGTAATATTGCATTAGTATAACATATTAAGTCAGTATAGTATAAACAATTCTTTGAAGAATATAAAGTATTGAAAATGAACAAATAAATTTAATTATAGCAATATTAATTTTTTCTTTTTTAGGATTCTGTTTATACTGGATATAAACTGTGGTCAACCGAGATGAAAAAAGAAATACTTAAAAAATTTCCAAATATGGGTTAAAAAGATTATTTTATTTAAAATAATATTTATATTATAGTGTGTATTACATTTTTCTTATATTTTATAGATATTACAATTATGACAATACGTTTGGGTGAAATGTGGACTAAAATGTCGGTTAGTGATAGAAATAATTGGCACAATCAAGCTCAACATTTAACAGAAAAATTTGAATTATTTCAGAATAAAATTATTATAGGTAATACACATTAATAATCTTGTCAATAGGTATATAAATAAGATATGATATATTTAATAATTTACAGATCATGAAAGACAGGATTGGTTAAAATCATGTAATAATAATGAAGTTAAAAATTTTCAGATGAAACAGTCTCATAATGAAATAAGATTAAGAAATATTCAGTTGCAACCTATTGATGTTGCTGCTTATCTTAAATTATTAGCTGAAAGTCTTATATTAATTGGTACTCGTCTAAAACAGTATGATAAATCTGTTATAATGTCAGATTGTATAACTGTCCTTTTGGATTCACTGTTATGTGCTATGGCTAGTTTAATATGTCTTTCACAGCAAATGTCAATTATAAAAATAAATAATTTTACTACATTTTTGAGAACATTAGAAAATATTGCATACATAATGCCTGGTTTGTAATAAAATAGTATTTATTACATAATTAATTTTCTTGTTTGTAATGTTACATTGTTCTGTTATTTGATATAAAACTGATTGAATTTTGATTATGTTATATATTTTAAAGATTTTCTTTAAAAATATATGTTCTACCTTTTCAGATTTTTATATCTACTAAATAATTTAATAGTTGGATTTAATTCAAATAATATTTCTAATTCCAATATATTTTACTCACTGTTTATATATATCACTGCACTATTTATATAAATTTACAAATTTTTTTCAAAGCTTGAATTCTAAAAGCAATTAAAATATACAATAAATAAACTTACAAAAAATTTATTGAAAACATATTTAAATTCTAAATTTGATTTTTAAATTTTAAAATTTTTAAAAAATTAATTTTTAATATATTCTATTTATTTATTTGTTATATAATAAGTGTAATAATCTACATTAGATCTAACATACTTATTTAAAAAATTATTTAAAAATAACAATTGTAAATGTTAAAATAAAAACTCTGCAGTTACATTCTATATTTATTAATAAAAAGTTGTTTGTTTTTATTAAGAATTAATTTTAAACAAATTGTTTTAATCAAATTTATGTGACAAAGTTAAAAAATTTTTAGGACAAACTTAGTAATTTCAAATATATGATACCAAAGTATTTATTAAAATATATTAATTTGTCTAAAAATTTTATTTTATGTATAAAAAATATTTTTTTTATTCTATCCAAAATTGAGACTAAATTATTGAATATATTATAAATAGTCTTAATAATTTGATATTTAAAAATATATTTTTAAGGTATTTTTTTATGGTTGGAATAAACTATTAAACTAATTAATTTGAACAGAATATTAAATTACTTACAATAGTTATAATTAAACTAATATATTTGGCTGTATAGTAAATACGTATGATTATTTATTTAAGACAATTTTTATTTATTTGATCCAAGTAGATAATTCAATACAATATTTATAAAATGAATTGGTAGTAGAAATTCTTATAATACATATATATATATATATAATCTATATATATAATATACATATAATCTTATACAGTCATATAACCATTTAAATTATTGAAATTGTTAGAATTAAAATATAAGAATGTAACTCAATTTTCATATAAAATCTTATAATATAAATTCATAATAATAATATATTAAAAAGTGTTTCATAAAATTGTTTTATAAATTGAATATAATTTAAATGAACATTGAGATAAATAATTTTATGTTTTAATGATTTATTTAATTAATGTTAATTAAAATTTTGTTAATATTATTAAAATTAAAAATTAACCTTTTTTATAAATATTTAACTAAATAAATATTCCCATACTCTAGTAAATGAAATATTTCTGTAAATATTTAATATAGATTTGACCTTAAATAATTAATATATCTGAATGTATTATATTTTATTATTTATATATTGTTACCCGTTTAAATATTATGGTTTGATATTTAAAAAAAATATACGATTTTTAAAATAAAATATCTAGTAATGATATAATAAATTCAAGGATTCATTTTATTATATTAAAGTATTATGCATTAATGCTATCAAAAAACATTTTGATGTGAATAATGAAAATATTAGTATGTATTTTTATTAATTTAATAAAAAATATCGAATTGAATTGAATTTAATATTAAATATATAGTTTATCAAATATATACAGTTAATATATAATTTATTTATATGATACAGGTATATGATATCGTTATTTTTCTTGTTATTTTTTATATTAATGGTTTTTATAATCTCATTAATACAAAAATGATAATTTTTCATACTTTGCAACAAATTAATAAAGAATATTCAATAATATAATTCCAATTTCAACAGCATTCAGTTTGTAGAAAACCTTTTCATTTTCTTTTTTAATTAACAATTTTAATATTTTCATTTAATTGTAATTAGATGTAAATACTTAGTATGTCGTAAATTTGGTAAGGTTTAATACGCAGAGGTGATATTTTTGATATTAAATAAATATTATTGATATTAAACATTTTCTGATAAAATAAGAACATGATATTTCAAGATTATTATTAATTATTTATATTGTTTCATATTTTATTCCATTGTTTTGTGTTTACTACTTATTGTTCGCAACAAATTGAAATATATTATTCTGCTTTAATTAAATTAATAATATAATTTAAATTTAATTTCTTAATAATTTGTTAGATTAATTTTTTACTGTTCGTTGAAAAATATATACATTTGTAATCACAATTTCTTTGTTATCGTTTACTCAAAATAGATCATTATATTTCAATTTATTTTATGTATTTAAATAAAATTCCTTAAATTTAATAAATTTTACAAATATCAACTTCAAATTTTTTTTTATTAAATATATTTATATAGATTTATATCCAGAAAATGTGATTATGACGTAAAATAGATTTGAGATTTAAATATAAATATTGTAGTTAAGTATAATAATAAAACTTAAAATATTAAAATATATTAATATAAAATAAATATAAAATAATGTTGCAGCTTAATGTTTATTAGAGAATATTAAACATATGAAAATTAATATCATTTAATATTATAAATTATAATAGTTTAGTATTTGGTACATTTGTATTTTAATTCAAAACAACAGTGCATTTAAAATAAATGCATACAAAAATTATTTTCTGAAAATTTCTCTTCTAAAAACATACGAGCAAGTAATTAAATAAAAATATGCTGGTTGAAAACTAAAAGAACTTTAAAATTTATATATTATTATGTTTGAGGCATAAATAAATTTATGTATTATGGTATTTACTTTAAAGAGGGTATAACATTTTTATACTAACAAGATTACAATGAAAGTATTGTAACTTAAAATTTTGATGATATGAACATGAAAATTAGATTATTTTTATTTTATTGACAGGTTAAGCAATGTGCTTACAAATATTTCAAAAAGTAAATAATTTATTTTTAATATGAAAATTTGTATTGAGTACAAACTTATTTATTTAATATTAATTTCACATATAAAGTACATTAAATTTTTTTGTTTTAAATAAGAATTACTGTACAAGACTATTTATATAAAATATTATCAAAACAAATGATTTTCAGTTATATAATATTAATTTTGTCATTTGCTTTTTGTATCACATTACGTACAATATAAAATATATTTATAAAATATGTAAATTTCAGGAGATACATTTTTTTAATTTGTTTTATAATTTACAATCCAAATGATTATAAATATTTATTTTTTCATTAAATAATTTTCTATCTTAAATTTGAAAGGATTTCGTAATCTACACTAATATGTTGTATATTTGTAATTCATTTAATTATAAATATAATATTTAAAAAAATCTATTTAATTCCCTATAAGAGTAACATTACAAGTATATGAAATTAGAAGTATTATAGGGATACCTACTTTAGGTAAATCTTTTTATTTTCAACTGTAACAATTTGTAATTTTAAATAGTTTAAGTAGATGGCAGTAAATGCTTTGAAAACTTAATAGAAATAAAATACAGATATATCAAAACTTTTTTTTCTTTAATTATATATATTAATGTATTTTTATTTATTTATATATTTATTCAGTTATATTATATATAAATATAAACTAACATTTAGTTATTAATATGTTACGCATTTATTAATCTATAATGCTTTTAATGCATTAGAATAATATTTGAGTTATCCAGTTCATCTTTCAAAATACACACATCACCAATGTATATTACTAATAATGTAATGATAAGTAAATTTTATTGTTGTATAATTCAATAATAAAATGCTTAAAAACTAATAAAATGTAAAAAAATTACGTTTCCTTAAGTATTGCATTCAATATTTTGTGGAAAAAATAATTTTCATGATATAATAAAAATCTTTAAATAACACATAAACAAAATGTATAAGTATTTATCTGTTATTACATTATACGATTATCTGTTGTTGTATTATTTCAAATTTAAATAAAATTATAATTAATTTTTGTACCAATAATATTCTTCATTCCTATAAATATATATATATTTTCGTTTATTTTTATACATATTATATTCTATATATTGTAATGTAATGTGTAAAATCTATAAGTAATAACGATATAACATTTTAAATAAAAATACCATATAAGTAGTAAAATTTATATTAATGATTATAATTCATTAGAAATAAATGAAATTACTATAAAAATATTATATATATATAAAGCTATATTTTATTTTTAAATCAATCATCTGTAATAAATATAAAATCTTGATAATGAACTATATATCCATATTCATACTCAGTACTCGTTTTTAATAATCAACTTCATTAAAATTTTGTTTCGTACCGTAATTCAGATATAATATTATTATATTATTAACAGTTGCATGTTTTATATTGGATCATGAAATATATATATTTAGTGTACTATTGTCAAGAATGCTGTTATTAAAAAATATTTTTGGATAAGATTTTAAGTAGAAAGGGTTTGAAATAATTGTAATAAAGTATATTTTCAGATGCAATCAAAAACTGATAAATGATATCGTAGTTATCAGTTTTTTTCTTATTGAAAGTGTAACAAAAAATTAATTTATAAATTTAAAAACAGAAAAAATTTTTTAAGATAATAATATAAAATAATTTTAAAGTAAAATAAATGAGTATGATTTAATTATGAGGTTGCGTAATATTTAAAATAAGTAAATTTGTAACTTGTAATTTTCATTAATTTTTTATTGACTTTATTATTAATTTTTTGATCTGTGTGTATTAAAAAATATATATGGTTGTATTAATATTATCTACTAGAACCATTTAATAAATTATAATTCAATAATTTATTTAAAATATAGTTGGTAAATTTATCAAATAAATCTACACGATTTTTAATGTAGTAAATTAATAAGCTTTAATTATGATTTACGTAAGGAACAATATTAAATTAGGAAATGTGATATAAATTCGTAGAAGTCTATAATATAGATTTACTATATATTGTAAACTATTGTACACTTCT